TTTAATTCAAAACCAAATTTTCCTAGTAACTTATCCATGAATTCCAAATTTTTAAAGAAAATTTAAAATTAAAGTAGCTTCCTAAAAATGTTTTGGTAAATTATCGAAGCTCTTTATTTAATTTTATTTAAATAGACCATTTTTTTTTATGATTGCAGGTAAAATATAAAAATTTTAGTTTTGGAACATATAAAAAAATCTATAATATAAAATATGACAGAATTCAATAAGTCTATTCGACAATCTCAAATAGACTCTTGCAACGGCTACCAACATTTTCCTTAAAACCATTCACATTGAGTTTTTCTCTACCCCAAATCAATCACTTCTCACTTATATTACATCGTATCTTCAGATACATGTTACTTCTAATATAAATATATTTCAGAATATAAAGTGTCATTTGGCTATAAAAAAATGTTGATACAACTTTTTGTCACACAATGCTCACACGTGGACAAATTAGATTGGTTTTCACATTGAGTTCACTCTCCATATTATCTTAGGAGGTTTTCACTCCTCTCGTCTCCCCCTCACTTTATTAAGCGCCCAAAGCGATTCTCTACAATACTTGGTACTAAAAACCCTAACCTAACTCTTCGTCCGATCATCAAAACCTTCGTCTCTTGGGGGACACTTCTTGATCTTTACGATTATATATTAGTATCTAACCCAAATTTCTCTAGCTACTGATCTTTGAATTCTAAATTTCTTAAAGAAAAAAATTGAAAATAAAGTAGCTTCCTAAAAGTGTTTTGGTAAAATATCGAAGCTCTTTATTTAATTTTATTTAAATAGACCTTATTGTTATATTTTTTGATTGAGGGTAAAATATAAAAATTAATTTTGAAACATAAAAAAAAATGTAAAGATATTTTAGGTACAATATACTACAAAGTGTCATCCCTCCAAAAAATATTGATACATCTTTTTGTCACGCAACGCTCACTTATCGATAAATTAAATTGGATTCTCAAATTGACTTCGCCCTTGTCACTCTATATCTATATAATAAAGTAGTTAAATTTTTTTGTCTTTAACTTTTCGCAGCTCAGATTGTTTGAGGATTATTGATCCGACGATTCTAATTAGATTTTCATTCATTTTAAAACTCTAAGACTCTCATTTCTAATATAACTCTTTTTTTCTCTCTATCTCATACACTCAACTCTCATACGTGTATATAACTCTCTCTCTCTCTCTCTATTTTCTCTCTGTTTATATACATAATAAAGTAATTTATAATTCAAATCTCAAAAGATAAACAAAATGACTTTTACTATTTGCGGTTAAGATCGCTTTAAATTTTACTTTAAAGTTAATATAACGACTAATATTAACACTCTAAATTTAATAGAAAAAATAGGCCCCTAAGGGTATATTTGGAGTGATTTTTTAAAAATACTTTTAGAAATTATTTCTCATAAATATATATTTTTTTTAAAATAATATTTGAAACCGCCCCACTACTACCTCTACCACCACCGCCACTGCCACCGCCACCGCCACCATGACCCCCACCCTCACTGTCGCCGCCGCTGCTGCCACTACCACTACCACCACCCTCCACCATCACCATCACCGTCACCATCGCCGCCGCCCTCGCCACCATCACCGCCACCACGGTCATTGCCACTCACCACAACCATCACTGTCTCCTACCACTACCACTGTCACCCACCACCTCTCACCTTCACTATAAATTGATACTTAAATTTTTTTATCTATTCTTGATGTTTGTGATTTGATTTTGGATATAAATACACATATGTTTATTATTTATCATTTTTTATTATTTTGTGCCTTCAGGCACAGACAATAACTAGTATATATATAGATGAGATAAAATGAAAGTATAATTAGGATTGTCAAGACAACCAATGTTATCTCATACTTTCTCTCTTAGGGCATCTCCAACCCTTACTCAAATTTAAAATTGAGTAAAAAAATTTAAAAAATTTGCTTCAACCCTTGACTCAAACTTATACCAAATCAAGGAAAACTCATTTTTTTACTCAAATAAATGGAGACTCAAATTTTTACTCAAATATTTAATGGTAAGATTTCACCATCTTTTAAAGATTCAATAATCATCTTTATTCCCTTTTAAATTTAGGTTTTCCCTCATTTAAATTTGGGTCTCTCATTCTTTAAATTTGAGTTTGTCCATTGAAGTCATTTATATCAAATCAAATTTTTTACTCAAATATTAATTTAAATTTGAGTGAAAGTTTGAGTCATAGTTGAAGATTCTCTTAGCATTATTTTTTTGTCTTGACAATCCTAATTGGACTTATTTACTCAAAATATTTTATGATTTTATAAATGAGAAAATATTTAAATATTAAAAAAAAATTATCAGGTTGTAGATATTCAAAGCCAAGCTAATCACCAATTAAAAAAATTCAAAGTTAAGCTAATCACCAATAAAAAATAACAAGTGATATCAATTGCACCAAAAAAAACTAAAAAATTTAAAGTCAAGTTAATTATCAATAGAAAAATATCAATGACCAATAAAAAAATAAGTGAAACCAATTACACAAAAAAAAAAACAATACTCTAAACCAACTAACAATTTTTTTTTCCTTTTTTACATCGTTTTTCCCTTACTAATGTTCATATTTTTTAAATAATTGAATAATACAAAATAGACACAAATGTCGATTAAATCAATTTTTTTTAAGTAGTGAAATATTTATTTTGTTGATTTAGTTTAATTGTAACATGATAATATTTCTATAGCACCCAAAAAGTTATAGTGACAGATAATTTAAATCAATTGTCCTTGCAACTACAAACAAATTCGTTGGATAACGTTATTTCAACTGGTTTTTTTTTCTATTTTTGAAAATTTTATTTGTAGTTCAATATGAACTAAACAACCTATTTATTAGATTTAGCAAGAGTTTGAAAAAATGAACACTCATTGAAAAGAAAAGATGCTATGAAGAAATATATGACATGATAATTTTGTAATGGTGTTAATTTAAGTTTATAGAGATTTTTGGATTGTGTTAATGTGATATAATTTTTTTCATTTCAATCCTTACATTTCTTTTATTTACGATATTTCTGGATGCCCCATTTGTTTGACAAATTTTTTGTGTTAGGGGTGCCTTCAGACACGAGTAATGACTAATTCGATTATAAAATGTCTAAACACTTCTCTACAATTCTTGGTACCAAAATCATAACCTAACTCCTCGTTTGATAATCAAAAACTTCGTCTTTGGGTGGGCAATTCATGATCTTTATGATTATATGTAAGTAATTATATCTGTTAATTCAAACCCAAATTTTCGTAGATGCTAACATTTGAATTCCAAGCTATTTAAAGAAAATTTGAAAATAATGTAGCATCCTAAAAATTTTTGGTAAAATATCGAAGCTCTTTATTTAATTTTATTTAAATAGACCATATTGTTATTTTTTTTTTAGGGTAAAATATAAAAATTTTAATTTTGAAACATATAAAAAAAATAAAGATATATTAGGGTATACAAAACTACAAAGTGTCATTTACTCTAAAAAATGTTAATACATCTTTTTGTCAAGCAATGATCATATGTCGACAAATTAAATTGGAATTTCAAATTGAGTTCACCCTCGTCCCTCCATAGTCTATTAGGTAGTTTTTACTCTTCTTGTCTTCCTCTCGCTTTATAAATTGTCCAAAATGCTCCTCTACGATTCTTGGTACCAAAATAATAATCTAACTCCTCGTCTGATCAGCGAAACTTTTGTCTCTGGGTGGGCAATTCTCGATATTTACACTTATATATAAGTATCTAAATATGTTTAACCTTAAATTCAAACCCAAATTTCTCAAGCTACTAATCCTTGAATTCTAAATTCTTTAAAGAAAAATTTTGAAAATAAAATAACTTCCTAATAAGTGTTTTGGGAAAATATTGAAGCTCTTCATCTAATTTTATTTAAATAGACCATATTGTTATTCTTTTTGATTGAGGGTAAAATATAAACATTTTAATTTGGGAACATATAAAAAAATATAAAGATATTTTATGGTACAAAAGACTACAAAGTGTCATTCACTTCAAAAAATATTAATCCATCTTTTTTGTTATGCAACGCTCACATGCAAAAAATTATGTTGATTTTTCAAATTGAATTCACTCTTGTCCCTCCATATTCCCTCCATATTCTGTTAGAAAATTTTCACTCGTATCATCTCCCTCTCATATTATATAGCGTCCAAAACACTTCTCTACAATTCTTGGTACCAAATTCCAAAACTAACTTCTCGTCCAATCATCAAAACTTTCGTCTTTGAGTGGGTAATTCTAGATCTTTACGATTGTATACAAGTATCAATATCCGTTTATATTTTAATTCAAACCCGAATTTCCCCTAACTATTGATATTTGAAATCTAAATTCCTTAAAAAAAATTTGAAAATAAAATAACTTCCTAACAATGTTTGATAAAATATGGAAACTCTTTATTTAATTTTATTTAAATAGATTATATTAATTTTTTTTAATTGAAGATAAAATATAAAAATTTTAATTTTTAGATATTTAAAAAAATTTAAAGATATTTTAGGTATAAAATAGTACAAAAGTGTCATTCGCTCTAAAAATTATTAATACATATTTTTGTCATGCAATGCTCACATGCAAACAAATTAGATTGGATTTCTAAAATGAGTTCATCCACGTAGGGATGACAATGAACCAAGTAAAAAATATCCTATTCGCTTTATTTGGACCGAGGATGGATCATACATATAAACAATGAGAGGACACGAGAATATTTGTATAAACTCGTGTAGGGATGAAAGCGGGGATGAACTAACACTTACCCTCGCCCCCGCCTCCGCCCCCACTTTATCCGTTATTATTATTATTATTATTATATATACATGTTGTTAGTGCTCCGATTGCGCCTTAGACCGGGACTGATCGGTAAATGCCCCTTACTCTTACTCTTCCAATACGAACTCAGGCTCGGGTTAGTCCCGCCTGTGTTGCTTGATGAAAGAAGCCGATCTGGGTGGTTCTCTTTGGATCACGATTTCAAAATGCCTGGATCGCTCATCCGGGTCGGGTCAAGCCTTTCTCCCAGTTCTCCCGATTGATTTGCCTTGTAAGCCCGCTAACTCCTACGCCATTCCCGGTTGACAAGAAGTCAAGCTCACCCAGGAGATAAGGCCAATAAACAACCCAAATTCCTGCCTTTAGTTCAGACGAACAGCTTTGATTGGATCCGATTTGGTAGATAGAGACGAAACTTGAACTGCCTGATTTACCGATGGCTCTTTAATGGCTGATTTGCCTGACTTTATTTCTTTATTCAGAGGGAACTAAAGGAGCCAGAGCCTTAGAAGAGAAGACTGGAAAGTCGAAGTCAGCCAACCGTGGTGAAAAGGCGGCAAACACGGATGAGAGGAACATCAATTCTCTCTTTCTTACTATTGTTCTCATGGACACGAGATCTTTCTCGGCCAATGAGTGTCAGAAGGTCTAGTAAGAATGTGTAGGGACTTGACTCAAGCAATAAGCCTTCTTTGGTTTCTGACAGTTTTGGCAGCTTGGTTTGGCTTACGTCGGACAGGACCTAATCGATCTCGTTACCAAATGTCCAACAAAGCTTACATATGGGTACGACTATAATAACTTTATACAAATCTACATATTATTGAATGATTTTTTTTTTTTAAAATTATTTTTTTTTTAATTTTTTTTTTATGATTTTGACTTGTAAAAGTGTAGATTTTTTTATTTTTATATTTTTTTTATGTTGGATTATGTTATATTATATTATGTTGTGTTGCATGATATTGCACTGGATTTACAAGTTGACAAACTTTTAATTATATTATGTTGAATTACTAGTTATTGCCCGTACTTGCAGACACAGAATAATAAAAAAAATTATCAATCATAAACATATTTGTATTCACACTCAAAATCAAATCACAAACATAGAAAAGAGAGAAAAACATTTAAATACCAGTTGTAATGACGATGAACAGTGGTATTAGTGGTGGGTAACAGTGATGGTGGTGGAAGATGGTAATGATATGTGGTGGGTGACGACGACAATGGTGATGGTGGCACCCGTGGATGACAACGATGATTGAGGGGTGGTGGGTTTTGGGTGACAACGATAATAATGGCAGCCATAGGTGACAATGGTGGTAGTAAACCACAGTGATGATAATGGCGGGTGACGGTGGGCGATGATGGTGGTGGGATAATAGTGGTAGTGGTAATAAATATGAGAATTAGATGATGGTGGTAGTGGAATGGTGACAGTGGACGACAGTAGTAGCAATTGATAGTGGTGGTGGTGGTGAGTGGCGGCAGTGGCGATAATGGTGGTAGGGTGACGCGTGGTGGCTATAGTGGTGATGGTTATAGAGGTTGAGGTTGGGGTTGGGCGAAGACAGTAGTGGTTGGGTGGCGACAGTGATGACAGTGTTGGTGATGGTGGGGCGATGACGATAGTGGTGGGGCAGCGGTGGTAATGACAGTGTTAGTAGTAGTGTTGATGGTGATAGAGGTGGTGGTGGGACTATGGGGGTGGGGGTGGTAGTGGTGGTGGTGAGACGATTCTAAATACTATTATTTTGAAGTATTTATAAGAAATATTTTTTAAAATCATCTCAAGCACACCATTAGGAGACCTGTTTTTTGTATTAAATTTGGGAAGTTAATATTAACTATTAAATTAACTTTAAAATAAAATTTAAAATTATTTGGACCGTCAAAAGTAAAAGTTATTTTATTTATCTTTTAAAATTTAAATTATATTATAATTTATTATATAGACGTTGTAGACAATATTTTAATTATATTATGTTTAAATTACAAACTTTTAATTATGTTATGATATTTTATAATTATGTTAAATTATTCAGAATGTTAAATTTATTTAAAATTTTGAATTATGTGGACTTGATCTTGAGCTTGGGGGTAAAGGGGGTAGGGGTGAAAATTACAAATTTACTCGCAAACAAAAAATAGAGATAAAAAATTATATCGTTAACAAAATGAATCGAAAATGAATAAAATCTTTGAGGATACGAAAATAAAAATTTCACCTCCGCCCCTGTTTCAGTCCGCACCATCCCAATAGACGTCTCTTCATATTCTAGTAGTCGAAAGTTAAAACGTACTTAGAAACAAAATCATAACCTAACTCTTTTTCTGATTATCACAACCTTCGTCTCTTCCAAGTGTTCGATCGTTGAAACCTAGAGTTTTGGATTTTGGAATAGATTTTAAAGGACGAAGCATTTGTGGCAGTGAAAGGAGAAGCCGTTTATAGCGATGAGTAGGTTTTTAGGGGGTTGTTCTTCAATTGAAGATTGAAGATCTTGGGTTTCGAAGTGGAATTTGAGTTCTTGGAGGTTTAGAGTACTGTATATATGATGGATATGGAACTCGTAGGAGATGTGACTTCACTGGACACTGAACTGTTGCAGCTTACAGAGGTATCTCCTTTCGCTCTTAAAACCAGCCCTCAACTAGCCGAGGAATTGTTTGCACAGTGGTTATCGCTTCCAGAAACCAGCCGACTGGTATTTGTCTCCACAACATAATCGATTCTAACATTTTGTTAAGGACACTAGCTTTTCAATACTGAGCAATTTCTCAATTTGTTTTCAAATAATCTCACCAGAGGCTTTACTTATTAAGTACCAGATGATCACAGAATATCCCTTTTAAAATAATGAATCGCGTACGGGTCAAAGAAATTAACACTTTTATGATGAATCGTGCATGTTTTTACCAGTTTGTTATGACAGCATGTTTTTAATTTTTAAAGATTTTTCATTCATAATAAATGCTGTTTTTTCAGAGAGACTGCTGCATTAAGTCTCTTCGGGCTTGAGAATCTAGAAGCAGTTTTTGGCTTCTAAATATGCTAGTTGAATGTTAGTGTCTATATACTTTTTGGGTGGGGCTATTCCCACCACACAAATATCCATTCCCATCATCCCATTTAATTTCTTATTATCAAATTACTAAATTCACGCCTTCTATACTCACCCATTGGTAAATAAATCTACCTCATGCTATATACACCCCTTTAATAAGTAAGTCTACCTTACATCTTTTCAAAATTAAGGTTTCATTCATTATTTCATCTCATACACTCACAAAAGTACTTTTTCAATATAAATTTCTCTAATAACATGCTAGGTATTACTTCTATATTTAATTATATGTTGATTTTATGTGTGCTGTTTGAATTTCCATTATTGTTATTGTGTTTTGATAACTTTGTCAAGTTGAATAATTTGATTTAGGGTTTATGTGTGTGTATGTATATTTGCATTCAAATTGTTTAAAATAGTGGCAATAAAGGCTATTTACAATATAATTTTTTTTTTCTTTGGCAAGCTTGTGTCGTTTGTGAATTAGAAATCTTGTTTCATTTTTTTTTTTCTGGTGACAAATTTTTTCTTTTGTTTTCTTATTTCTTTTGGGTTTTGACAAATTTTTATTTCTTGTTTTTTAAATTACTTATTAAAATGGTGTATATAGCATGAGATGGACTTAGGTACTATTGTGGTGGGTATATAAGGGGTGACCTTAGTAGTTTGTCAAAAAGAAACTAATGGGGGTGGGAATGGATATTTTTGAGGTGAGAATAGTCTCACCCAAACTGTTTTCACATCTTTATGTTTTTCCCTATTTCCTCATTATTTTCTTTGTGATTAATACAGTTTATCCATCTGGGATTGGATTCTTTTTGAACATGATTGCAGGTGAAATCCTTAATCCATGGTGCAAAGGCAGGTGCCTCTGGGATCTCTTCCACCTCAAATGTTTCTGGGTGTAATATGTTGCCTTCTGTATTTCCTGCTGGCTGTGCTCCTCCGCTTTCACCTAGAAGTGCTTCGAGTTCTCCACGTGCTATGCAACAGAGGTCTATCCCATCTTTAGGTCCTTCACTTAAAGTTGTCGGTGTACCTGTGCCAGAAGTCATACCGCAGGTTTGACTCACTTTTAGTGCCTTGCAGTAGTTGTACTATCTTTGTTTTGAACTTTTGCTTTCTTCTTTGCATGAGGATAACTTATATACCTATGTGCTTGCAGTTCTACTTCCAAAATGGTCGTCCACCACCAAAAGAACAAAGAAAACAATGTCTTAGTAGGATCAATGACCTTTTTAATGGTAATATTGATGGCTTGCAATCCCATGGTAAGATATATCCGTGCTCTGATTCTATAAAGATAGATTTTCTTTCATATTCCTTCTTGCCCGCTATTTGTTTCCAGAAATAATCCCTTTCATTTTGATTGGCAGAATTTAAATCTGTCACAAAAGAAGTATGTGAGCTCCCGTCATTTTTTTCTTCCATACTTTTTCAGAAGATTGACACCAACAATACGGGGATAGTAACCAGGTATGCAACTATAGGCATGAAGTCTTGTTTACTCGAGAGATCTGATAAAACAAAATCTAAAGGATCTTGAGTAAGAATCATTTCCTTGCAAATTGTTGAGCTCTCATAAGATGATTTCTTTATATGGTATCTAAGGAAATAGGATCTAAAGAATGCAGTTTTGTTTAACCATTGCTTGGCCAATTTATTCACGTCTCTCTCTCTCTCATGGAGCCACTTTCTGTTTCTCTTAACTCCATTGGCAAGCCATCAAGCAATATGCATTGCCTCCTCCCATAAAAAAACTATTTGCTAGAAAAGAAAGAATATTGATAAGTAACCCATTTGTTCTTGGAACTTACTGGTTACTATCTTGGTGAAGAATCAGTTTACCTCTTTGGTATCTTTCATGAATGTAAATACTTCCTGCGTAAGTTTCTCTAATCGGCCATTTGGTACTATTGTCTCTTATATAGATTTTAGCTTCAAATAAATTGATTATTTAGGTTAAGAATAAAAATTAACAACGAATATATTGATTTAACTCAACTCAACAAAGCTTTTGTCACAACTACTTGGGGTCGGCTACATGGATCCCTCTTCCTCCGTTAAATGACACACAATTCAAGGTTGCCGCAATGTTTTATATAATTTCCCGTTGATAGTGGTGAGGGACAGGTGTGGAATGAATAAATATCCATACCAGTTATCTAAAATTGTAATCATTGGAGTCTGCACTTTGGGTGCAGGCCTTAGCAAGTATGTACATGCATCAAACCACAATCAGGATCAGAGTCATGGTGCTGCTTTGCAGTTTCGTTAGCATTTGTTGTGAATTTAATGTTCTTATATGTTGTAGTCTTGTAGAAACAGTTGAACACATATTTTTTGAAGTTGGCATTAAGTTGATTTCTTGCTTAAAACTTCCCATGCAGATTTAGCAAGTCCATATCTGCTGCATGCCTTGAAAACACATTTCCCGCCCCATACCTAGGGGGTGCATTTTCTTGTTGTCCCATCGAGGAGTCAATTTATGGATGCATACATTTTCTTGAGGAACATGCAATTGTATCATTCTTATTTGTCCAACTCTTGAGTTTATTTTATCTCATTTTCTTTCCGTTTTAGTAAAAGATTTCAATGATCTGTATTGTGGGTATTTTTTCTCTTCACCACTCACGTGTATGTGCAATGATCAATTAATGGTTCAAATATTTTAATTCTTAACAGTGCTTGTATGGCAATCGAATAATTAGGGTCACCTAGGTTGATTTATATACTAGATGAGTCCCTCCACCCATTGTCAATTGATTTTGAATTAGATGCTCTAATATGATATTAGAGTTGGGCCTTGTGTGATCAGTGGACCAAGTCTCTTGCCCATTTGAATTTTTATATGCATAGTTATTTATTTGTTTGTTGACCCTACAGGCGAGCCTAGTTTCCACATGAGGGAGGGTATTAAGAGAAAGAACTTGTATACACGTCAAATAATTAGGATCAGGAAGGTTGGTTTATATGATTGAGGGCCCATTCCATTCATTGCCAATTGATTTTGAGTTAGATGCTCTAACAAATTCATTTGTGTAAAATTCTTTTGAATGTAGTGTAGATGCCACTTAGATAATTTGTGATGTCTCTCCCTCTCTCTTTGTTATGTTCGCTTGTTGGCACACATGCAATCAACCACTTGTTTTTCAATTTATTTTTCATTTTATATTGTTTTGTGAGTGAGTTTTGTTGAGGAGGCAGGTGTCATTTATGGATTTCACAGAATATTAGATGCTGCTGAGTGAGTCCGCAATGTACCATTAATGGCATGTTTGCTGTTTTTGTAGGGATGCATTCGTTGAATATTGGGTTGATGGAAACATGCTGACAATGGACATAGCAACACAAATATTTAATATTCTGAAGCAATCAGACTGCAAATACCTTACTCAGGTGTGTTCTCTGGTTCTTAGTGAATATTGATATGCGTAATCTCGTCAATTTCCTTTTTTTGTTTGGCCTTATGCATAATATCGATACAAACTGTAAGGGGATAATTTAGAATTCCTTACTCTGATATTTAAATTACCATAAATGTTGTCCGCCAATGGCTATTAAGTTATATCTTTCTGATCTGTAAACCTTGTACGCAGGCAGACTTCAAACCTGTTCTTCGAGAGCTTTTGGCTACCCATCCGGGATTGGAATTCTTGCAGAGTACACCTGAATTTCAGGAAAGATATGGTAAGCTTTTAAATGCAAGAGGAAAGAAAGCTCCTATTTGGGCATGAGCCCTAGTAAATTGACTTCTTGGAGACTTGAAACTCCAGTTTTTGGCTATTGAAAAATCAACCTTTTAATTTTCTGCTGAATGGACACTTTTGATCTGACCATCCACAGCCTTTTTTGTGGGTGCATTTCAGTGTGCTGGGTAGGATTTTGGTTTTTCCTCGGTGATTTAAAATCTTGACTGGAATAGCTGGTTAAATTGGTCAGTGAGTCACGCGGACGGCTCAATGGATTGGTTTAATCTTTGAAGGCAGGTGGATTTCTTATCCACCAGTTATGTCTTTTTACATCTTTCTATGAAATGAAAGTTTTGTTTCCTATTAAAAAAAAAAAAAATCTTTGAAGGCAGGTAAGAGCTAGAAGTGGAACTTATGTGATATTGTCATTGTGGATCCAACTGTGATGAATCAAGGTTGAGATTTTCATGAAACTTGACGTAGAGAGAGGCCTCAAATCACATCTTTAGTGCCATTTCAAAGGATTACTTAACATAAGCAGATCAAGTCTGTCTGTTCTGTTTATCTGATAATTACTAATGGTTTGTGCAGTTATGTTATGGTCAGATATAGTACTGGTGATTGTTTTTAAATTTGTCAAATGGCTCACAAACAAGTGCTGGAAACCACCAGTTATCTGCCAGTCGGGCTAATATCAAGAGAAGGCAGCTAGGGATACCTTCTGCCCACTAGTAAGCCCTTAAAATGAATCTTTGAGACCTTGGGGTAGTTTTTGGTGGAAATTTACTTCGAGGTTTCGTTTAATGTCTATAGAGAGAGTTGCTTAGCAAGACTCTTACCACATTGTTGATATTTGAACAATTATTTGGAACATTTACGTGAGTAGAGATTCTTGGAATGAGTTGAGGTAGCGTGGAAATATGCAACCTAAGAGCCCAACAAATCTATCAGATAGACACTGGATCAACTGATGAAGATTAAGGCAACTGCTGAAATGAGTGAAAACCCTTATTGGTTTTTATTGGGATCTGAACTAGTGTTTCAAACTTCTACAAAAGTACTAGAAGGGTTCAAGGTCCACAACAGTATGCTGCAATGTTGATTTCTTTTAAGATCACTCAGCGTGTTTTATTCAGAGAGTGGAAATTCTTGGAATTGGTGAATGTGCATTCCTTACTAAATCAAAACCTAGATATAGGATTTTGTTTACTTTCTTCAAGCCTTTTTTGCAATGTTATGCTCAGACTTCCGGAATTGAGATTTAGTTTGGGCTCTCTGCCACTTTAGGGTGGTGGGAATACAAAAACAAGTCTTTTCTCCCATGTGTTAAATGATACTTGTGCTGTGTCATCAAATGACCTTTTGGTGTTTCTTCAGGTTCATGGAAACTGGATTTCATGATTCAGTGGAGCTGTTGATATCACAAGATTGTTTAGCTATAGTTCACTTGGACTGTAGTTTCCTTTGGTGGAGGATGGTTCTCTTATTAATGTTAGTCATGGATCTCCATAACCATTTGTGAAGATGCCATCGTAGGTGGTCTTTTACTTCTGTTGCTAGATATTGTCTCTATGACAGCTGCAGTGGTTTCTGTCGAACAAAAGTACAATGACGAGGGTGCTGTTGTTTCAGAAAAATATGACACATGGCAGTTAATGAAGTATTTCTTGTTATTTACGTGGATGATTTTGCATCTTTTAGAGTTGACAGATATTAGTGTTGGTTAATTGTTTTGGTTACCTTTTTCAGCTAATTTGGATATTGTCATTTATTATGATTTTCCCTGTTTTAGTTTTTTACTCAATTTGGTGGACACTAGATGTATTGATATGCATTGGACATGACCTTTTGTTTGATGTTACAGCTGAAACGGTCATATACAGAATGTTTTACTACATCAATAGATCTGGAAATGGCCATCTGACCCTCAAGGAGCTGAAACGTGGAAACCTGACTGCAGCAATGCAACACGCTGATGAGGAAGAGGACATTAACAAAGTTTTTAGGTATTGAAAACCAATCTTAAAACTGGCTTAAATGGTTGTTAGAACTTTGAGCAGTTTTATCTATGCAAACTCTCCCACCAATGGAGAAGCTTGCTTCTATTAAGTTGTCTGTTTTTTTATCACAATTTTGTCTGTTCATTTCGTCATATTAGAGATTGTCCACATTGGTACAATAACACCTCCTAAATTAGTATACAAGCCTTTCCCTAAACATTTAGGCTACTATCTACAAGCCTACATGTGATTGAGGATTGCATGTGCCGGGGAGTATTAGAGCTGCTCCCACATTGATAAACTAATACATTCTAAACTAGCGATGAATGTTGAGGCCTCTCCACCTATTGTCAATTAGTTTTGGGCTTGAGTTGGATGATTGAACAAGTCCTAGCATTAGTATAATTTACATGTTGTGTATTATGTTTCTGAAACCTGTAAACCCTGTGTGTAGACTTGCCTGAGTTGACTGACCTTTTGACTGTTTGTTTTGAGCTAAATTTTGAAGTTAGCTCACCACATTCCACTGATGTGTCTTATCAAAACATTCCAATGATGTGAAGTAACACTGGGAATTCGACCAAACAGTGATCTTGCATCGGGCACCTTGCATATAAGGTTTTCATTTCTGGTCATGAGTTGTGTGAAATATCAAAGGTTAGGTCTATGTATACTGAAGTAGCAGGCACATAGCCAAATAATGCCCAATGTTAAGTCTCAATCCAGAAAAAACTTTGTTGCACTTTGCATTACTGTACTGAAAAAATGGCCTTTTTAAATTTCATTATGTATTATAAATGGCATATAATTGTATTGTGTATATCTTTTTTACCAACATATTGAGGTGTATTGATTGGTAACTGCACTTAATAGCATGAAGAAGGGTCCAACTACCTCACCTCCTTTTTCCACTAATGAAAATAAGACACGTGTAAAGTTGCGCTATTTTTCCACTGGAAAATGTCCTCCTTTTGCTATTTTTATGATCAATGGTCACAAATAAATCAAAACAAGATCAATGGCTAAAATTCATTTTCCGGCATGGTACCTAATGCATTTGTGCGCTGACCATAATGGATTGAAATCATATAGTTGTCTTTTCCTTTACCTGCAGGTACTTTTCATATGAGCACTTCTATGTCATATACTGCAAATTTTGGGAACTGGATACAGACCATGATTTCCTGATCGACAAGGACAACCTCATCAAATATGGTAATCATGCTCTTACCTTCAGGATTGTTGACCGTATATTTTCACAGGTTTGTTTTAATTTTTCAAATTATAATAATACAAAGCAATGTATCATATTGACTATTGAGCCAACATCTTTTGTAGTAGGACATTCATACTAATTGTTTATGATCCATTGATTTCACATACATATGTCTCAATATCTCTCAGGTTCCAAGAAAGTTTACTAGCAACGTTGAAGGGAAGATGGATTATGAAGATTTTGTTTATTTCATGCTCGCAGAGGAGGACAAATCATCTGAGCCTAGTCTTGAGTACTGGTATTCTTTGTACTTTTCTGGCTATTGGTCACCGATTAATAAATCTCTTGACACATTATTCGAACTGTGTTTCTTTTTTGTTTTACAAGCGCAAGGACAGTGTTGATATGCATTTCATTTAATCTATATGGTGAAACTAGGGTTTAATTAGATATATGCCTGCCCTCTGGCCTTATTTGCATAATTGGCTGCTCTTGACTTGAGCCTGTGCTGACACTGGACATTCAAGCTTTGCAATCGTACCTGTGAAATGGAAGATTAAGATAAGTGATATGAAGATATTGAAAATCAGTGACCTTGTAAATTACTCATTTTCATTTTTTAGGTACAAATGACTCAATTTATTCACAATGCTTAAAGCATCACGTTGACGATCAGTGTGACATGACATGTTTTTACCTATGGGATGTGTATTGCAAGTTCATGTCAATTTCATTTGTTTTACATTTCAAAATGGGTATTGGTTAGATGTCCATACCTTACCATGGCTGCCAGTGCTAAGCTGGATTTTATGTTAAAGGATATATTTTAGTTAGGATGCATGGATATAACTATGGGATACGAATATGATACGATACAAATATAGTGATATGACAAAATCTAAAAATTTTGGATACAAATACGCCTATGATGCATCTATAATAAAATGTATTTTATATTTTTACTATTATTCGACAACTTGATAATTATAATAATAAATACTTTAAAAAGAATACAAAAAATTAATAACTTTTACTTTCAAACTTGTAAAATCGAAGCCATTGCGCACCTCCTCCTTCTTCAGCCTTGGTTTATTCTTTTTCTTCTTCGGCTTCTTCCTCTTCTCCTCGACAGCTGCACCAGTCGTTCCCTCTCAGTGCTCTGTGTGTGTGTGAAATGATCGAACGAGCTGCACCAGTACTTAAAGAAACACTTATCTTCAAAGTCGTGTGCATTTTTTGTGTGTTGCTTTATAGGTGAATCCAAGAGAAAAAGACAATGGTTAAAATCAATAATTATATATTGCTATGTTTATGCACTTTTCTTATCCGAAACATGCATTGTGGATACGTATTGGTGAAGTATCCAACGTCGACCTTAATGAAGTAACCATACTTCATAGTATATTAGGCATGTTTTAACCTCAATGGTTCATGTATACTGTAATTACCGGGCATCTAGGCATTTCCCGGAGTTCTGTACTAGAATGTGGCAGTCGATAAAGCCTAACTTTTATTGCTATCATAACTAATTGTTCAGTGACAATTGTGCTGCACTCATTGTGTGAGTTTCTTTGGTTTTTAGGTTTAAGTGCATAGATTTGGATGGAAATGGGGTGCTCACAGCAAATGAGATGCAGTTTTTTTATGAGGAACAATTGCATCGAATGGAATGCATGTCCCAAGAAGCAGTGCTGTTTAAGGATATCTTGTGTCAGATAGTTGACATGATTTCACCAGAGGTCACATCTTGTTCCAGAATGATTTCTTTAGTTGCAATATTTTGATTTCCAGTAACATCGTATTTTTTTTTGCAGAGGGAAGATTGCATCACATTACATGACTTGAAAGGATGCAAGCTATCTGGGAATGTTTTCAATATTCTTTTCAACCTTAGTAAGTTTATGGGTTTCGAATCTCGTGACCCATTTCTCATCCGCCAGGTACGTTAAACATTTTATTGGTGATTCTAGATGTTGCATCGTTGCATATCAAGATATGCAATGCTGATAGTTTACTTCTCGGGCTTTGTACCGGCCTAATTGGCATCTCTGGTGCAAGTAGGAACGGGAGGATCCAACTTTGACAGAGTGGGACCAATTTGCCCACAGGGAATATATTAGGCTCTCAATGGAAGAAGACGGTGAAGATGTATCAAATGGAAGTGTCGAGGTTTGGGATGAATCACATGAGGCACCCTTTTGAGTTTAATGAGGTTAGTTTTGTATGAAGGCTTGATACGAGTCATCAGGTTTACCAGCATTGCATACCTTCAAGTAAATTATAAGTTTATGGTTTTTCTATAGGATATGTGTATATGCAAGTAGAATTTGTCTTTGCGCTCTTTGTAGCAGCCCTGCTACTGCAATTGATAGTCATGTTCTGTCACGGTTGACTAAATTTTCTGAATTTATGTTCCGGTTCGCCTACTGTGTCTCTCCAGCTGCTTATGGAGTGCTCACGATGCTACCTTGAGCTTGGGCATTGAATGAAGAGGATACTATCATCTCCCAAAAATGCTCTTTGAATTAAATTCATCATGCACTGCGAACCTTGCCTGGCCATTCAGTTCTGATGCACAATTGTCGGGATGCTATCTACCATTCAGTTGTGAAATGATGGTGAGCTGCCTCTGGAGTACCAAGTGAAAGCCTTCAATTGGGAACGCCGGTTGCTTTGCAGAGTAAGGGTGATTGCCATTTCTGTTGCTTAGATTACATATCCTGTGTTATTTTATCCTTTTCCCCTTCCAATTTATGTACACTAGTTTTGTGTTCTATTTTTGGTTTCCTTGGAGAGAAAAGAGAAGAGAGAGAAATATTCTTACAGTTTGTTTGTTGTGAAATGATGATAAAAAATACAAAATATTGGAAAAGTTTACTATATAATCCATAGGATGCTTGACAGCATTCTGAATTTGTTACTCCCGCTCATTGATTGCGGCTCAAATAAACCATAGAACTTACTGGAAAAATTACACTTAGATTTTTTGAAATTTGTTACTTAATTACTTAGATTTTCATGGATGTTTGTACGTGTAACACGTAATAGTGTTATCAAAATCGGACCAGATCGGCCTGTTAATTGGTACCTAAAATAGTCCGGTTATATAGTTAGACTGCATAAGGAAGAAAATCGCTTAAAAACCATTGAATCAGCCGATTTTGGACCAAAACCGTGAACTTTACAATTGGAATTGCAAATCTAATATAAAAAAAAAAAATCCCTTTATTGGGGCCATTTTGCCCTAAATCAAATTTACCCCATTTTCGCACTGAGCAGCTCAGGCAATCACTCAGGCCGCCACTCAACTCTCAGGTGAGGAACAGAAAGCCATGGAAGCTCGAACTCTCACTGAAACGACGTGAAGGTTCAGCTCGATCTGAAATTTGCCCTAATTTCTCTGCGTGAACCCTTGGCCTAGAGGTTGGAAATTCACAACCAAACCACTAGACCAAGGAATTAGGGCTGAAAGTTGAAGAGATCCCGAAGATGGTGTGTGGGTGTTGAGGGAGCCGGGTTTGGTGAATTACAGAGATATAGAGAGAAGCAAAAAGTTTAAAAAAAAAAAAAAGGGAAGAAGACTTGATGTTTAACGTGACAGACACGTGATGTTCAATGACCGCACATTGGCACATTTGCTTAATGTTTATACTTTGTTGATTAAATTGATAAAATTTAAATTTTAAGAACCAAAATATAATAGGAGATAAATCTCATTCGCTTAATGTTTATTGTTGATTAAATTGATAAAATTCAAATTTTAAGGACCAAAATGTAATAGGTGATAAATCTCATGGACTATTGGTACAATTTACCTAGTATTTTATAAAATTTATATTTTTTATTTTTTTTATTATATGACCGGTTTGATTAGTTGACCTAACGGTTGAACCAATAAATCATTGACCCGGTCCTTTGATAGGTTCGATGACTGGTCCGGTTCTTGTAACATTGACATGTAGATTCCTACCATTAATAAATTACACATAGATTCTTTGTAGTTTATAGGCGTATGACACTTAAAACTCTCAAATTTAAAATATTTCACTTATATTAAAAATATTCTAATTAAAGATAGGATATTAAATATTTTAAATTTTATAACTAAAATTCATATTCTATTATGTTATTTATTGAAATAAAATCAAAAATAAAAATTCAAAGTTTTCTTAAAAAAAAAATCATAATTAGTAATATTGATGTCAAAATTTGGAAGACCTGTACGTCAGTTTGTTAGGCTTCGATCACCTAAAAAAAACGTTGGAGATCAAATTAGAACTTTGAAAATCGACTCTTCGATGCCTGAGTCAGTAAGTGACTTAAAGATATGAACCGCGTATAGTAATCAGTATAAATATATCAAAGAATTAAATTCAAAACTCATTTGTATACAATTATACCATCTATTAGAATAAAACTAAAAAATCAAATAAGGGGTCAAATTGTAATGGACACAATTTCTTCTATTTTTAATTGGGGTAATTTTGTCATTTAATAAGTTCTGTAAGTTTTATAACTAATAAGGGTTTTAAGTATAATATTTTAAATTTGAGAGGTTCAACTGTTACACGTTTATAAATTTCAGGAGGTCTAGTGTAGGTATGATTTACTAACGGACATCAACGATTAGGATCTAAGTGTTACGTGTGTATAAACCTTAGAGATTTGTATGTAATATTTCAAATGTCATGGATTTAAGTAATTAAATGATAAATTTTTGAAAGTTTGAGTATAATTTTCCCAAACTAGTATCTTGTCTTAGCAACAGTATTATTAGACAATATCTCTGCTTTCTTCCCCTGCCTTGAAATATATATTAATTACCATTACGGCAGGGCCTCTGGCCCAAAGCTATCCCACATCGGATAGTTTCAGGTGTGTGTGCGCGTTTATAAGTCTTTTTTGGCCCTAACTCTGTTAGAGTCGGGGGTTAGGATTTGATATATATATATATATATATATATATATATATATATATATATATATATATATATATATATATATATATAAACAAATATATATATATTCTAATCAAAAATAGAATATCAAATATTTTAAATTTTATAACTAAAATTCATGTTTTATTGTATCGTTTATTAAAATAAAATTAAAAATAAAAATTTAATTTTTTTCTTAAAAAATTGTAATTAGTATACAATTATATTATCTATTGGAATAAAACTAAAAAAATTAAACAAGGGATCTAAGTCATTCATAATAGAATATGAATTTTATAACTAAAATGCATATTCTATTATGTCATTTATCATAAAATTGAAAATAAATATCTAATTTTTTCTGAAAAATTACAATTAGAATGCAATTATACTATATATTGAAATAAAACTAAAAAATTAAATAAGGGGTCAAACTATAATGAATACAATATCTTCTAACTTTAATTTGGGTAATTTGGTAGTTTAATTTAGTTGTTTAAACGACCAAATTAAATTTTAATGGATAATTTAATTGTATACTAATTATAATTTTTAAGAAAAAAATTTATTTTTTATTTTATTTCAATAAATATCATAATAGAATATAAATTTTAATTATAAAATATAAAATATTTGATATTCTAGCATTAATTGAAGTATTTTTGTTCTAAATATAATATTTTAAACTTAAAAAGTGGAAATATTATACACCTACAATTCAGGGGTTGTCGATATAATTCTCCCTATAATTTTTTAAACTCCAAAGGTAGCCCTTGACATCTGTTTAAAATATAGGGCGTTGTCATTGTTATTCTCCCATTCTGAAAAACGAAAAACTCCTCCAAAAATAAAATAATATTTTTTTTGGCTAAGTAAAAATAAAATAATATTGGAAATATGAAAAATTCAAGGATAAATTATACTCAGACCCACTAATATTTAATTTTATTATACGGACACCCCTCACATTTAAATAACACCGAGACAAAGACATATAAACCGCTGGGAGCTTGGACCGCCGACCGTTAAAAACTAATAAGCACACATTTCTCCTGTAGTTTTATATATAGAGAGAGAGTCATCTTGTTTTTGGAAAGAGAGTTCGTAGGCGATCATCTCTTTCTCCACTATTCAGTCTTTTTTCTCAATTAAACCCTACAAATTTCCCGATTCACCGAATATTTGGTTGCTTATTAATCTCTCCGTTGCGGCATCGTTAATTCATTCTTTCTTCATTTTGGGTTAATCTTCAGAATTCCTTAGAGTAAAGGTACAAAATCTCTCTCTCTCTCTCTCTCTCACGCGCACACACACACACACACATTGCAAATAGATTGGGAGAATGTGATTATATTCGCTTTCTTCAGCTGCTCAACTTACAGTGGTCTTGATTGTTTCTTTGTTCTTTCGTTGTTTTTTTTAATGAATTAATGGTGGAACGGGATATTTGGTAGTTTCAATCACAATTTTGTATAAATGGGAAAGTTTGCGGATTAGTTATACTAGCTAGTGTTGGTTGCCAATGAGATGTTAGTTGGGTCGTTTGAGATTCTGATTTTGTTGTGGTTTCAATTGGGATATGCAGATTGTTGAGTGGTGAAGCATAGCTTGGGAACCAGAGGCTGCTTGATGTTCACAAGAGATGGACAAACTTTGTCTCTTTGCGCGCGAGAAAGTTTGTATGTCATTGACTTCTTGAAATCTTTGAAACTCAATGCATAGGGTTCAATTATGCTGTATATGTTGACAGTGAGTTGCTAATAGGGTGCTTCTTCTGGTGGAGCAGTAGGGACTCCTATGAGTGAGGAGGTGGATGCCTATTATCCGGTTAAACCAGAATGCCAAGCCGACATTCCCAAGATCCGTTTTAAGGCCAGGGTGCGTGAACATGTTTTTCTCCCCAGTTGTGCTTAGTATTTGTTTCATTCTTGATTTCTCAGACACCCATTTTTTAAGGGATGAATGCTTTTGTATTTTATTTAATCCTTTGTTACACCTCCAATTTCATTTAACATACATCCCTGCTAATGAAGGGATACTTTTAGCTAAATTTTTTGAATCAATCTCTGATTGTGTGTATAGATATGAGGGTAAGATCTCTGTTGGTTGGAAACTTCCTGTTTGGTTGCATCTATTTTTCCAGTGAGATCAAGGCATGCTAAGAGTTCGAACCATAACTTGTTGATCGTCTTTCTTGCTAAATGATGTGTTTTATTTGTTACCTGCATATCGTACACTTTTGCAGTACCATTATGACAAAATTATAAGAAATTTTGCTCTCCAAGTGCTTAATGGTCCTTGTATATTTTCTTTTCATAGGTGGGAAAAACTTTAAGTGCAAGAAGATGGAATGCTGCAATCTCTCAAGATGGTCATTTGGATATTGCAGGTGTGCTCAGGAGGATACAAAGAGGGGTAAAGCCTTTTGTTGTTACTCATGTACCAACCCACATATCTACATGTTTGGATGTGAATGCCGATCATCTTTCGCTTGATCATCGCCATCCTATGTACATGCCTATGTAATGCACAGGCATGGATAATATCTTTTCCTTGATCATCAATTCATCATTATCTCGTGGCATGGCTTTTTGAATCATTGTATATCTTGCTCATGGCGTCATATTATCCCCAGTATATTCACAATTCGAACAGGACAAAGTGTTGATTATGTTCTATTTGTGATTTTTGGTTACACTTGTGCTTCAGGTGTATCTTTCATGATCCATATTTTACTAATGTTGACAACCCGTTGAAATCTGAAACTGTTACTAAAATAAAGGAAACTAAAATCTTATATGTGTATTAATTTGGAAGTAAGCATTAAAGTGTCTCAAAAGTATCTCAGCTACCATCAGGTTTGAAATTCTTAAATACCAAAAAAAATCTTGCGAAACTTATCGTAGTGGGATTGAAAGCAACTTAATAAAGAAATGGATGAAACTGTTAGTGTGATGCAGGTCAAACCTACTTATCATATTTTATTGGGGCAAAATAACTAATACTAAGGTGGCGAGGTCTAAAATGTTATTTTCTTGCTCTATTTGGGCATATTATCATTTATCTGACACACACAAAAGCTTCATAAGCTTGACCCACTATTGATTTAGAAGTTGAAAAATCATCCACAATGACTCTTTTGCAGAGCTTGGTTTTATTGGGCATCCATGGTGTAAGTGGAAATTAGACAAGACGTTAAGCTTATGGCTTTAGCAAGTTTGTAATCATAACTTACGGATTTTTCCTTTCTTCCATCTCTTACTCTTTGGAGGCTTTGTTCTTGATAACGGGTCTCAAAATCTTTATCAGCTACATAAAAAATACTTGTGCATGTTAGCAATTGATGGCATTGTTCTTGGTTCACTTATTGACAAAAGAGTAGTTATATTTCGTCAAACTAGAAGAATTGCTGTCTAGCTAAACATTTGTAATTTAATCAAATACAAATGTATATTGCGTAATTGATGTTTATTTTTTATTCTTGCTAGGGCATTCATCCTTCAATCAAAGGTGCAGTCTGGGAGTTCTTGTTGGGTTGTTTTGATCCCAACAGCACCGTCCAGGAAAGAAATGAGATCAGGGAACGGCGGAGGTAGTGTTTTCTTTCTTTATGATTCCACATGAATGCCACCTCATTTTACATGAATATGAGGTTGTTTACACGTGTACATCATGAGAATGTGGACATATAGATTCTTTTAATTTATTTTGTATTTAGACATGTTGACTGAAAACATCGATTTATACTCTTAGGAAGCAGTATGCCACATGGAAAGCTGAATGTCAAAAGATGGTACCTGTTATTGGTAGTGGAAAGCTTATTACGGCAGCCATAGTAACTGATGATGGCCAACCAACAGAAGACCTATCGGCCAACAGTGATTCACAAGATAGCAATATTGCCATTGCCAATAATGATACTGTATTAGACAAAAAAGTGACTCAGTGGAAGCTGATCTTGCATCAAATTGGTTTGTACTTGGTGCATAACTTGTTTTACATAATTTTTTAAAAGCTTCTTGCTTGCTATTTTTTTGGTTGTGGTGCCTAATTTTGAAGCCTCTTTTTCTTATCGTTTGCCATATCAGTGTCTGGTTAAAGTTCATCAGACATTGTAATGAGGATTGCAGGAAATGTTTCACCTTAACTTGCGTTGGCTGCCTTTGTAAAGCATCATGAGAAATTGAATTGCGACGCGTTCTCAATGTTTTAGACAACATAAAAATTCTAAACTAGGGATCTACTTGTTTATAGGATGGAACATGGGTGTGGATACTCGTATAATATCAGGATCAGAAATGGTTCTAAGCTTGTGTGCATGCACAATTATGTACTGCTATGTTCCCCAAAAAAGTGTAAATGTCACTTGGTTGGGTGATCATCAACCTTTGAGGGTTGGCCTTGACGCGATGGTAAGACTAATGATATGTAAAATATGAAAGATGATGGCTTATTATTGGTCATATTTTGTATTATCTTGTAATTAACATTTTCAAGATAACAGAGTCCTAACAATTGACCCGCTGTTAGCTTGGTGGTGTCATTTGCCGTCCCTTAAACGCTATTTGCAGATTTTAAAACTTGGTTGGGCATTGTGGTGGTTGTGCTTAATCTTTGTTCAAAGAAATTTAAAAATTAAACAATATTTTAGTACCAAACATATATCTGCATCATATATGGAAGGCCGACTTGAGTACCCAGGTTTGCGTTTGTTTCATTCTTCCCATTATAAGCGTGCCACTTCTTCATTTTTTTTCCCATTTTTCTTTTTCTTTTTAAGGAAAGTAAGCTAAAATATGATTCTTTACTAATTTAAAATTTCCCTCCTCATCCATTACTGTTATTCTTATGAAATTCAGTACGCTAATATTCTTACGATAGGCAAAGGTTAGAAATGACTATTTCAATTTGATGGGAAATGGCAAAAGATGTGGTAAGGTAATAGCAAGCGAATAGTGTGTCATGCCTCCGGCTTCTACATTTGCACATAATGTATCTTTTTCACACTAATTCTTGTACACCTTAAACAACTGGTGAAATATGCACTGTAGGTTTGGATGTTGTACGCACCGATCGTGCTCTTGTCTTCTATGAGCATGAAGTTAATCAAGCAAAACTGTGGGATGTTCTTGCCATATATGCTTGGGTGGACAAGGATATTGGTTATGTTCAAGGTGAAATACTTCAAATTTAGTGTTAACGCTATTCAAACAAGGACGGTTCAATAAATTGATCATGGTTTTTATAATACTTTTTTTGAGCAGGAATGAGTGATATTTGCTCTCCAATGGTTATTCTTCTAGAAAATGAAGCTGATGCATTTTGGTGCTTTGAGCATGCAATGCGTAGATTGGTAAAGCTCCGTTTTCGTACATAAAATATTTAGTCCAGTTGCCTGCTTTATTTTTGTTATTGTCGAGGTGTTTAGTCCAGCTCCGTTTTTATTTTTGCTTTCTGCTAGGCGTTTATATGTTTAATGATACATAGTGATTACCACTAGCGGGCTTCCAGTCTTTTGCAAATACGGGGATGCATCGACATCCCTGGCTTTTTAGTACCATATCAGGTATACCAGCACCATTGCATTGCTGTATCTGGACACAGGAGAACAGATTGGAGATGCATTAACATCCCTGGCTTTTTAGTATGATTTCAGGCATGCCAGCACCATTGCATTGATGGGGTAAGGACCTAGGAGCATGGTTTGTTAAGATTGGAAAACTTGTCAACATATAATCTAATCGAAACCCGTAGTGGTGGGAGCTCGTCCACTGGGATTCCCTTTTTAATTAAAGGAATTATGTATTAGCGGGTTTACAAGTTTAAGAAACGGTATAAACTTATTTTAGTTGGTATTGTTATCCAATAATTGCATTTTTATAGAGACGAGTAATTAAACTGTTAAATTTTGTTTAATACTGGGAAGAAAAAGTCTCAAAATTTTCCAACCTTTGCTTCTATATTTCTTTCCTTTTTGGGTTACCCTTATGTTTGAGTAGCACTATAGAGCTTGGGTCATGCACATACTGAATATCTTGCCTACAATTTTTGACATTATCTTTTTGTATCAGGCACATTGCTGCATATTTTCTGGGGGTAGAATCCTGTTCTTTTAGATAAATATTCTCATTGAACTAGGCTTAGCTAGTCATCATGTGACGATAGAATCCAGCATATGTCTATGAGCCTATGAGTGGCTATGATGATGGTTTTGACTCCATTTCCACTTCTAGTCACTTCTCTTGATTGAATGTGGCTCTGCAAATCAAGATGCTTCTAGCCTTCTAGGCAAAGAATTTGGGCATCTATTAATTCTAGTTCTTAGGATTTGACTGAGGATGTAGCTTTACAAAGAGCCAACCAGAGAAGTTGAATAGTTGTTGTGAACATTAAGTGGTTGGGAGTGTAAATAATTTCTTAACACTTATATTGCAATTCAAACAGGAATTAGATGGTCATCCACTGATTCATTTATCACACTATTTATTTTGCATAAAAAGTCATGGATTAGCTTGAAGAGGATTGCTTTTGTTTTTTATTTAATATTATGGAAGATCTAAAAAATTAACTATGATCCAATTGTAGAAATGGACCCACATAGGGTAGTATTAATGCTGCATTCTCCAATTGCTCGATAGCACTTAGCTGAGTTGTTTGCAAACAAAACCCCTGATTTCACATTTTGTTTTTCCCTTATCAGGTGCTTAACAAATTTTTTTTTCTTTCTTCCTTTTAGACCAATAGAGGCATTCCTGAAACTTTATAGGTTTTCCTTGGTCTACTTGTGTTGGTGCTTGGGTCTTATTCTACTTAGTATATATATTGACGTCATGCAAATATCTTGCATCAACCTAGTTTGTTATTTAGAGTTGTTTCATCTGATGTATTTGTATTTCATCCGAGTTTTTTATGTAGTTTGTATACATTTCTCATATCAATGCTTATGACTGTTCTTGACATATCCCCACTTTTGTTTGAGAAGAGGGAAAATTTCAGGTGTACTAGAAGTTCTATGGGGGTGCAATCTCAATTGAATATCCTTTCACAAATTATTAAAGTTGTTGATCCTAAGCTTCATCAACACCTTGGTATGAATTACTCATCCTATTTAGAAGTTTCTAGTTTTTGTTGTGGTTGGGGTTTTAGCATCATGGATTTTACTCATAGTTTCACTATCATGAATTCAATTTGTTTGGGAGTATCATGAGGAGATCACTCACTCCATATTTAATATTAGCATCATGGATTTTTACTCATCCTCTCACTATCATGAATTTAATTTGTTTGGGAGTATCATGAGGAGATCACTTACTCCATTATTTAATATGTGATGAGGTGAAAGTGTTCTGTAATTATGAAATTGCAAGAAAATTTTTAGATCCTCTACGGCATTAGTTCTAGGACATTTCTGACCTATTTCTATAATTTTTTTTATTCAGGAAAGCACATTTGCATTTGATTTTATTTCCATTTTGGTCTTTTAGTTTGGGCAGTATTGTGAGAGTGGTGCTACCAGTTCTGATTGGCTCGCACATTTTTAGTTTAGACCCCAACCTATACTTGAACGAGGGATACTTTTACCACGATAACTACAATCTTAAGGCTATTTTTGAAGGATATGCTGCTACTGATTGCATTAATGACATGATTAGATTGAAATCTGATCATCAACAGTTTAGCTTGAGTGGTGCCCTCTGCCACCTCCAGTGGGGAAGTGCAAAGTTCAGCTCTTGGCTGGGATTTGTGTGTTCGTAAATTCTGATTTGTTAACAATATGATTGAACATGTCACTTGGCCATATTGGGTCATGTTGACATGGCCATGTCGAAGAATCAAATTTTGTGTTCTTTTGGCTAAAGTGCACTTCAGTTTTGACTACAAGCAGCAGAACTTGATGGAAAAGTTACGGTGTTCTTCAGTGAAAATGACATTGGCAATAGATTAAATGTCATTTTCCATTTATAGATGATTTTTTTTTTCCTCTTGTTCAGTGTTAAACCATTTAGATATGACGCAAAACTTCAGTTGTATTGACAAGATATGTATGATTGTGTGATTTACCAAGGTTGTTATTTACACAATTAATTTTCTCATTGTAGGTGAACATAGTTGCACATTATATTAACATTTATTCAAATATGTCTATCCAAGAGTGAAGCCTTTACCAAGGGGGTCAACTCTTTAATGGTTATACTTGTCTTTAAATTAGGTGCATGAAGAAAGTTACAACCCTGTGCATGTGCACAAGTGCTGCATGTGCGTGTTTCACAGACTAATGTCTCATATCTTCTATTTGACAGAGGATCTGGATGGTGGGGAGTATCTTTTTGCTTTTCGGATGCTGATGGTACTTTTCCGGAGAGAGTTCTCGTTTGTAGATGCACTGTATCTTTGGGAGGTAAGGAAGACCTCTTTGTCTTTGCTGGAGCTGTTATAGCAGAATGAGCTTACTGGGAGAGCTTTTGTATAGGTTTTGATAATTTTCAGTGCTATTCATTTAATGGAGGTTTTGTGCATCAGTGTTTGATACATCATACATAGAGGAGAGTCTTTTGACTTGTACTTTTAAGAGAAGGTTTTGTGCATCAGTGTTCGATACTTAGTGGGGAGTTTTTTGACTTGTAGCTTTAAGTTGATTGTTTATTGATAATTTTAGGTGATGTGGGCCATGGAATACAATCCAAACTTATTTGCATTATATGAGCTGTCGCATGACTCAAGTGCTGCTACATGTAAGAGTGACAAACTCACAATAGATAATAAGCTGCTAAAGCAATATGGCAAATTTGAGAGGACAAATGTGAAGACTGGATGGACGGACCAAAAAAGTGCTCTTGCTGTTTTTCTTGTTGCAAGTGTTCTTGAGACCAAGAATAAGCTACTTCTGAACGAGGCAAAGGGTCTAGATGATGTTGTCAAGGTCCTCTCTCTTCTCTCTCTGTGCGCGTGTGATATATATGCCGAACATGAACATCTACACTTCCCTAAATTTGAAGCTTGATCTATCCTTTCAGATATTGGGTGACATCACTGGGAATCTTGATGCCAAAAAAGCATTGGACAAGGCATTGAAGGTTCATAAAAAGTATCTAAGCAAGGCAAGCTTCATCTTCTGTTTCTTCTCTTTCTTTCTGCACACAAGGTTAGCGATGAGATTTTCAGATCACTTACTGGTTACTGTTTGTTATCACATGCAGGCCCAGAAATCATAGTAATGGTTTGGAAGGTCCAGCAGGCAGCAAGTGTTTTTTATTGAGGTTTCACTTATTTTCCTTGGTTCATATCCATTTTCTTGAAGATTTTTTTTTTCTTATTTGGGTGACATTATTTTTCCATTATTGATTTAAGTACCCGACTCTAAAAAATTGAGATAAGACTGAGTTGAGTTATCTTTCTGATTATGTATTGATGTTTCTTTTGTAAATAAGAGGGAATTTTGTTGTAAGATTTTGGGTTGAGCAGCATATGTCCTTCGATATTCTTTGGTATTACAGAGTTTTTCGACCTATAGTATTTTGACATGGGATCGAGAGTCTTTTTATTGTATTGTAACGTTACTTTTCAGTATTGTACTTCTTTTTCCAATCTAGTGAAAAAGGTGACATAGGTAAAGTTTTCTTATTTTATTATTTTTTTGCTATTTCATTATCAATGACTGTTCATAAATGGAATCAAAATCAATAGTTTTAGGAATCGTTTTTGTTAGGATCATATCATGTTTGAGTTTCCTTAAATATAATTGAATTTCCTACCTATTTTTATCCAACAAGTCTCCCCCAACGGCCATTCAGCAAAATAAACTGTCAGGCTTCATAAGAGTAGCCAAGCCTTAGCCAGAATTACTAATGCAAATGATTGAATTGCCATGTTCTCTTTTCTCTTGTCAGTTTTTTCTCAGTTTTTTTTTTTTTTTTTTTAACAAATTTATTTTGTCAAAGTATAGTTCTGTTGATATACCTCAAGAAGACGAGTCTTCTCTAACAAGACAACTAATTTAAATAATAAACTAACTCTAATAAGGTAATATCTTATTTGGACTAAGATTAATAAATAATTAATAATAAAATAACCAATTAATGAGAGCTTTAGTTAATTCTCATTAATCCTCGTAACATATGAACATCTATTTAGAAGATATGAAATTATAATAGTAATAAAAACTGCATGTAAGAAAATTTTGTTTGGAATTGATCAAAGACTAATTTATAAATCAAACATAGTGACGGATTTAATAGGTCAAGGATACAATAGTCAATGATATTATATTCTATCACCCTTCTCCATGAGTCCTACAGAAGTGTTTATGTATTATCCAAATACTAGAAAAGATAGGATATAACCATTAAATCTTAACCAGTCCAATGATATGTGGGTTTGTGTTGGATATGAAAAAGATATTTTTTTTAGATGAGTTTTTTGGGTTTGGTTATTTTTTTTTAGACTTAAACATGGTGACAGATTTAATAAGTTAGGGATAAAACAGGCAATGATATTATATTCTATCACCTTTCTCCATGAGTCCTGCAGAAATTGGGGTGTAACTTGGACGAGTTGGACAGTCAACCATAGTCCAACCTTAGGTATATAATCTTCAACCCTAACCCTAACCCTACCTCGGGTTGATGGACTCAACCTAAGCACTACCCGAGTTTAATTCGGGCGAGCTAGGATTGAATTCGGGTTAATAATTTCGGACTGATTCGGGTTACTTTACGGGCTGATTTCAGGTTAATGTTTTAAACTTGATACATATATTATATAATATTCAAATAATTTAACAACTAACAACTTCAATAAAGTTTTTAACATAAAAATCATAATATTAAGAACTCAATGCAACCACAACTATACAAAACATAAATAAACATAAAACCAGTTTAACAAAAATAAATAGAACACAAATATTGTTGCCAGATAGTGACTTATTATTTATTGATGACAATCAATCTCTTAAACAGGTATATTTCTAATTCAAAATTCAACCATATTCATAAACACAAATGCGATATGCATAAAAAGCAACATCTTTGCATAAACACAATTGTCATACGCATAAAAAGCATAAACACAAATGCCATATAAAACTTTTTGTTTTGACTTGAGTTGAAATTAATCTAGTTTAAAATTATATTTATATAATATTAATTCGGGTTGAACCCGATTCTAATATTCGGGTTCAACCAGTGAACCTCAGTGGATTCAACCAAAGGCCTGTCCAAATTAAATTCGAGTTAAAGTTTTTTAATCCAAAACCAACCCAAGTATTAAAAATACTAGTCTAACCCTTAATTTTTTCAGGTTGGGCTAGGGTTGAAATCGAATTACCCAACCCAATTTGCACCCCTATGCAGAAGTGTTTATGTATTATCCAAACACTAGAAAAGATAGGATATAGTCATTAAATCCTAACCAGTCCAATGATAAGTGGATTTGAGTTGGATATGAAAAAGAAATTTTTTTTAGATCAGTTTTTTGGGTGTGATTATATTTTTTTAGACTTATTTGAGAAGAAGTGTATTGATAAGTTTTTTTTTTCTATTAAGTTTATTTTTAGTAAAACATCTTGTTATTAAGTACAAAATTTAGATGACCTTTTATTTATATTATTTGTTTATCCTTCCTTAAATCATATATAATTGATTAACAATTTATTTTCTAATCAGATATATAAAGATTTGATTAGATTTTATCATTCATTTGAATTTTGAACATGTGTTATTATTTTCTTGGTAGAATAATAATATGCCAAACAGGGCCATGGCTATCTTGGTAAAATAGAGTTAGTTTTTAGTTAAGCTTGTCACCCTGGTTCCCTTTTATTCATATGGAGATACAAAGAAAATCCTACATTGTGCCAAATTACGGTTGTAATAAGCATATACTATGGGATAAAGCTGCTTTCATGAAAATTCCCTTGAGATACATATGTGCTGCAGAAGACTGCTTGTTCTGGGGGTATAATCCTTTCAATCAAAATGAATGACTAATAGGTAATTTGCAGAATTGATGGTGTTGATGTTGACCAGGACATGAGTTATTTGATTATGCAGTGTTACAAATTGAGTAATGGTGTGGTTGTGCACTAGTGTGGGTGACCGATAGAATTTTAGTTTAATGATACTCAGGGTCGGCTTTAGGCTTAGGCCACTTAGTCGGCCACCTAGGATCTCCAATTTTTTCAAAATTTTGAGCCCTGTTGAGAGTTTTAGCTATGAGTATATATAATTTGTACAGGTTGGTTTGAGAGGGCCCAAGTTTTGTTGATAGGTCCATTAACACTTCAACAACTTACTAAAAAAATTATGCCACTTGCCAGCTGCAGTCGACTGTTAGACTAAGAAAGGATAATGTCTCTCTCTCTCTCTCGTCTGTGAAGGAATTAAGTAAATCAAAGTTTTAACGCCAGATTTTTTTTTTTGTTAACAATATCAGTAACAATTGTTTCAGATGAAAGAAATTTTTCAAAATTTAAATTAATAAAATCTTATCTCCGACCAACTATGTCACAAGAAAGATTAAATGAATAAACTATATTATCTATTGAAAAAAATACATTAACAAAACTTGAATATAAAAATTTAATCAATATTTTTGCATCTCAAAAATTTAGAAAAATATCTTTTAAATGAATATGTTTTAATAATTATTGTCTATTAAGAGGGTTTACTTTCATATTCTCGCCTAGAGCCTCCAGATTTGTTGGGCATACTCTCATGATTTAACTCAAGGGGATGGATATCTTTCACATGCAAATATGTGCCTTCAATTTTTCCCCCTAATTTTGAACTCTTCCAAATATGAAAAAATATCTCTTAAAGCTCGATAGTGGTGTTAGTGAAAATCTAAAAAATAGATGAAGTGTTTTTAAAGATATGATAAATTAGAAGGAGTGTGACTGATTTTTTTTTTTAAATAGTGATTTTCTCGTGCAGGCTAGTGTTGGTCTAGATGATCTGAAAGCATCATAACTGAAAATTTTGCAATTTTTCACTTGTACCGCAGTTCTCGACTTCTTTTATGCTCCGGCCAAGTATAGAAGGAGTGACAATTATAAGCGATGTTTTCCAATATGTAATGAGAAGTTGAGTACTTACATCAGATATGCTGTGGGGGGTGTATATGCACAATTCAATAGATGCTTGGTTGAATACGAGGAAGGGAAAGCAATGGTGTATTTGTCGTAAATATTTGGTATAATTGTGTTATTGAAGAATTACTGTCACGATACAATCACAAGTCTTTCGTTTTGTTTCATGCGGCTTTGAGACATCAGGATATTGCCTGCTAATTTACCTCTTAATGTTCGCTAATCCAGCAATAACTCATTGGTATGGTTAAAACAGTGACAATGCTAAATTCAATATTGCTAAAGATAGTCCTTGGACAGAGAGAATGCATTGTTCCGGCTTGAAGGGAATACTCCTCGGTTGGTAAATATTGAGTGCAATGGTGATGATACTGATTTTGGTTGTTGTTTCATGCATACGGATAATTTAATGTTTGGACGGTGATATTATGTATCATTGACGATATCAAGTGTCACTAATATCGGCATTTTAAAGATATACTTTAGTTTGAATCAGATAATCGGAGAGATAAGAACGAAAAGATCCCGTAGGTAAATAGTGTCATCATCTAATGAAAAACCAACATGTAGGTAAATGGATTGTACTTAATTCAGTAACTGTCATCTTACTTATACTATAAAACAATCAAATTAGGGATGAGAGACCTTGAGAAAGTTTCCCTCCCCAAATACTAAATTACTAGAATTTTGAAATATTTAATTAGCTAACTCCAATCAAAACATTATATGTGTTCTTTGTAACCACTTCTATCATTTTTTTAAACTACTTCAAAATTTAAATTTTTAATCATATTTCTTAATTATTTAAAATATAAATGAATATCATTTTAACACTAATTGCAATCGTCCAGTGACATTATGGTAACAGAGGGTAAGATTATAACATAAAGAGAAAATAAATTTCATGTATCGCATGAGATGCCATACTAACATTCACGTAAGAAAATCACCACCTTCTATAAAAAAATAGGATTCACTTTACCCAGTTGCAAGTTTATTATTGGATTGTGACACCACATGACCCATTGATTAAGATTTACTTACGCCCGCGTGCAGGTGATTGTTGGTTCCAACATCGTTCTCTTCTCCCTCCCAAAAGAAAAAGAGGTTAAAAGATCCTATAATTAGCATTTTTATGTGTTAGTAATATGCATTTATTTTAATTCTCATGCCTAAATTTTCGATCCACGTCTGGTTTTGATTAGTGGGTATCAACAACAAACAACTCACTGCCATTGAATTACCGAGAGATTTGCTTTAAACAGCATTTTGCTTTGGTTGGGTTGGTTTAGTCCCCTTCCTCTTTTTTTCCATCATAGGCAACTTCTTCCATGAAATAGTCAAACATACAAAACACTTTATACCCTATTTTTCCCATTTTCTCTTTGATTTCTTTGTTTGCACTTCCAAAGCCAAACACAACTAAGCTGGGATGATTATTTCACAGTATACAAATTCCATGCAGGATGGCTTATGAATCTATGATGTTACATTGAGTTTTCTTCCAAAGGTTTGCTTCTTAATATGGTGATAAAGAGATAAGTGTTAGGTATCGTTACCTATATTTTGTTGAAGCTGATTATCGGAATCAACCTTCGGCATATTTAATGCAAATTTATTTGCCTAATGAAAGATAATTGTTCAATTTCTTTCCCCTTGTTTGCTTTTGTTGCAGATCTGAATATCTGACATCAGCAATTTTGATTTACCTTGATTTTAAGTTCAGTATATGAGAGTTTAAACAAAAAGAATTATAAATCAGACAAGATGTCAACGAAGATGAAGGGCCTTTTGAAAGGCTTAAGATACATCTCTCAAATATTCGGTACGTCCCGATACATCTTTGAACGTAAACAAAGGATTGAAAAATTATAAACTCAGATGTTTTGAGTTTAAATCTTGAAAACTCTTATGAATACCCTAGTCCCGACATAGATGACTTGTTTTTGACTGGATTGAGGAGAAGATTAGTCGAGATGGGTATAAATTGACTCAGAAAAAAAAAGAAAAAAAGAAAGAAAAAGTCATGTATTAGAAGTGGGAATGATTTTTATATTATATGATGCAGATGATGATAAAGAACCAGAAATGCAGATTGGCTTCCCTACAGACGTAAAGCATGTGGCTCACATAGGATGGGACGGGCCTTCGGTAGACAATTCACCAAGCTGGGTAATTTGTTCTTTTTCTAAATCCTTTGTTTAGATTCACAATGTTAATACCAATTTGTAGGTGATCGCGTACATTCCACACGTTGTAGTCGTGAGTCTAAAGTGTATGGTTGGATGATTCCTTGTTGTAGAAAAATACTTTTGTTAATATTTTGCGAAAGAACATTTTTACCTTAATGGTACGATGATTTGACGAAAAGGAACACGAACTTGAGCCTCCTTCAAACCACCTTGAAATGAATCATAACTTGATCTCTCTCATTTGGAAACACACAAGTCATGATGACCATCTGAATGTGTCGTGCAGATGCAGGAATTCAAATCACCAGGAGGATTTCAATCAGCCCCATTAGGTGCCCCCACAGATTCTAAAGAAAACCCTGAAATCAAATGGGTTTCTGAAGGTTTGTGTTTTTCTTTTCTCTCTTACATTGGCTCCAAAATCATAAAAAAGATTCAATAAGAAGGCAGTGCTCAAATGCATGTGTTTCAATCACCAACATGTCCCCTATGGAACCATAAGGGAAGTTCATTAGAGACACGAACACAAACTGTAAATTTAGACGTCTTTGAGTTTTGGAGTTCGACCATGAGAGATTTAACTCTCATAAATTCTATAGTCTTGGCATGAATATCTTGTTTTTGAACGGAACTGAGAAATGAATTAGTTAAAGTATGCATAGATTGTATAAGACAATCCTCACCGTAATACAAAAAAAAAATGTTCCCCAAGAGCAAAATCAAAATTTTGAACCCACCGCAATCATCTTGTTGGTAAACCAACAAATTTTAGGCACTATGTTAACGTTGCCATCCCATTAAGATTTAAATGTTTTGCGGACATAGAAATCAACAAACAGTAACTACACTATATCTCCATCTGTTTTGTTGGTCAAATGTTTCACCAGATTCAAGCAGCCGAAGGGGTACCACCAGAACTCCAAATTCTCCAGCCAGAGACAAGCCAGAATTACCAAAGTCATCAAGACGCCATTCTTCAACGGACAATTCCTTAGCAACAACTGAATCACCAAGAAGAGAGTCATCCACCAAATCAAGGCAGTCAAGGCGAAACCAATCGAAGGACACCAATCTACCAAACACACAGGATGCTACAGGCCTCGGGCCTGACTCACCCACACGAAGCTTGCCAGACATTCCAAAGAAGTCACGGCGAAAGAAGTCCAAGGAATCAAACTCCGGTGGGTCATCACGATCGTCAAGATCGAAAGGCGCCACTTCTAGTACATACACATCTCCGTTTTCAGATCCTGGACCAGAAACTGGAATGACAATAAGATCCAAGAACAATGAAATTCGTCAAAGTTCGAGTCTGAAACCACTTGAAGAACAACAAGATAAGGAAAGTAGAGGGGGTGTCTCTTGAGATACTACTGGATTGGTTATAGGCATAGTGGGTGAGCATACAATGTCATACATGAAAGGTTTTGATCAGAGAGAAAGACTAATGTCACTGCATATTTAATTGCCATGACCATTCTTCCACACGTGAATACCAGAGGGCCTGAATATGACTTGTGCTCATTATTCTCTGGATTTGCTTAAAAGGTTATGGCATTTTATCGGCCTCCAAATGTCGGGTTTTCATAAATTTTCACATAAGAAAAAAGTTTTTTTATGAGGGCGGTGCTTAGCGCAATGGTAAAGTTGTTCTATTACAATCTAAAAATCACGAGTTCTAATTACAGGCTTGCAAGAGTGTTGTAAGGATGTGTATATCCAACCCTTCTAAAACTCGCGACGAGTAGACTGAGTATAAACTCTTTTCACGAGTAACAACCTAATTTCCGACCTCCTATTTTACTGAAACTGTGAAAGACCTTTTGAATCTTACTGACCATAACCTGAAACTGTGAAACACCACCTGAATCATTCTTAACCATAACAAAACACTCTGGCAGTGACAATTGGTCATCATTTTCACTATTGCTGCTATGAGGACCAAATAAAACTACTATGGGGCCATTGGATGCTGTGTTCTAAGTCTTGCAATCACACCCATTGGGGACTTCGAGATTTTATGACGAAATTAGAAATTAAAATTTCAAAATAGTCGATGTTAGAGCATCTCTAACCTTGACTCAAATTTAAATTTGAGTCAAAATAGTCCAAAAAACTTCTCTAACCTTAGACTCAAACTTGTACCAAATTATTAAAATAAAACTTATTTTGAATCCAAATTAAAGCAGACTCAAATTTTATACCAAATTTCTAATGATAACTTTTTAATCTCTTTAAAATTAAAGAGACTCCATCGTTATTCACCACCAAAACTTTCACAAATCATTTGAAAGCCTATAAGTAATTTTTTTTCTTTTCATCATCCATCTTCTTGATTTCTTATATTTTTCAAAATTCTAATCTCATCTATCTTTCTTACTATATAAATCTTGATTTCTTGTATTTTTTTAATCGCATCTTCAAGCTTTATGGTATGCTCGAAACTATTGTTTGTGATAGAGACTTGGTGTTCACAAGTTATTTTTGGAAGGATTTTTTCAGTTAAATGGAATTAAATTTAACTTTAGTTCTACCTATCACCCTCAAACCGATGGCCAGTCAAGTGGTCAACAGGACCCTAGAAATGTATTTGCGATGTATGACAAGCTCAAAACCAAAGGAATGGGCCTCATGGCTTCCATGGGTTGAATTTTGCTATAATAAGAGCCTACATTCTTCTACGGGAAAAACTCCCTTTGAACTGGTTTATGGCAGAGAGCCACGTATATTACTAACTTGTGTACACGACGGTGATTAGAGAGGCTCAAGCTAATTTGAAACTTGCTCAAAATAGAATGAAGTCTGTCTATTATAAGAAACATGTCGAACACAGCTTCGATGTGGGTGACTTGGTATGTTTAAAGTTGAGGCCCTATAGACAACAAACTGCAGCTCGGCGCAGGAATGCCAAGCTCGCGACCAAATATTATGGCCCTTTCAAGGTTCTAAGTCGCATAGGGTAAGTAGCCTACAAGCTGGAATTGCCACCTTCGACTATATTGCACCCTGTCTTTCACGTGTCAACCTTGAAAAAGAAGCTAGGAGACCACGTCTCTATTCAAACACACCTGCCAGCATCCGTCACTACCGGCCAAGAATAGGCATGCACACCTAAGGCACTCTTGGAGTTATGTTAGAGTATGTGTGGCTCATATTTGCTGTGTGTATAATGGCAAGGAGGCAGATGTCGGAATGGAGCCCGCGACGACATCTGCCTTGCGCGATTTAAATAAAGGGGACGCTGATTAGTTGGGGGTGCGGGGGCAACGCCCCCGCGGTACGGTACAGGGGTATTTTTGTAAATACGTCCATATTAGGGTTATATAAATACTTAAGATGTAACCCTATTCTATAATGAAAAAGAACGGCCGCTCGCTCTCGTGGATGTAGGCACATTGTCGAACCACGTAAATCTCTGTGTGTTATTTTCTCCTGCTTTCTTAATTGTTTGATTCCTTACTATTCACCATAATTGCTGCACGATCACAACATTTGGTATCAGAGCTAGACTACGATGTCTGAGATTTCCTCTACAAAATTCGACATCATGAAGTTCGACGGAACTGGGAATTTCGGATTATGGCAGAGGAGGGTGAAGGACCTGTTAGTGCAGCAGGGCATGGTGAAGGCATTATACGGAAAACAACCGGCAGGAATGGACGACATGGATTGAAAAGAATTGGAAGCGAAGGCTGTGGCGACTATTAGGCTTTGTCTGGCTGATGAAGTGATGTATCACGTCATGGATGAGGAATCACCGGCGGAAGTTTGGTTGAAACTGGAAAGTCGGTATATGTCCAAGTCGTTGACGAACAAGCTCTATCTTAAGCAGAAATTATATGGTCTTAAGATGTCAGAGGGCTCGGATTTGACCCAACACATCAACGTGTTCAATCAGATCATCAGCGATCTGAAGCGAGTTGATGTGAAGTTCGAAGACGAAGACAAGGCGCTGATGTTACTGAATTCCTTACCGGCGTCTCCTACGTACGAGAATTTGGTTACGACTCTGATGTGGGAGAAAGAAACCCTCGAATTGGAGGATGTCACAGGTGTTTTGTTAGGTTTTCATCAGCGGAAGAAAGCCAGTGATGAGGCTTCACAAGGTGAAGGGCTTGTGGTGAAGGGTAACCAGGAACGTGGAAGAAGCAAATCTCGGAATGGATCGGGTAACAATAAAGCCCGGTCCAAGTCGAGGAAGAAGAAGAAGGACGTCTCTGTCTCGTGTTACAAGTACGGGAAAAAGGGGCACTTTAAACGGGACTGTCCAGAGAAAAAGAAAGGGGATTCAGAGAACAAAGAGGGTGCATCAAAGTCTGCAAACGTAGTGGAAGAAGAAGATTCAGAGAGTGGTGACGGAGATATGCTTTCTGTTTTATCTAGTTCAGATCGTTTAACAGATTCTTGGATTATGGATTCAGCATGTTCCTATCACATGACACCCAACAAAGATTGGTTTGACACCTACAGGTCAGTAAATTCTGGTTCTGTTCTGATGGGTAATGATGCATCTTGCAAAGTTGTTGGAATAGGAAATATTAGAATTAAGATGTTTGATGGTATGGTCAAAACGTTGTGTGATGTTAGACATGTACAGGATCTAAGGAAGAATTTGATTTCATTGGGCACTTTGGATTGTAATGGTTATAGTTACAAATCTATAAGTGGAGTAATGAAAGTAAGTAAAGACATGCTGACAGTGATGAAGGGACAGAAAGTAGTAGGAAACATTTACAGACTGCTGGGGTACTACAATTGTAGGTGGAGTTGCTGCTGTAGAGTCTGAATCAGATAATACAGCCTTGTGGCATATGCGGCTGGGTCATATGAGTGAACGTGGGATGATAGAGCTTCATAAGAAAAATCTATTGAAGGGTGTCAAGACATGCAAGCTCAATTTTTGCAAATATTGTGTTTTTGGAAAACAGAATAGGGTGCAGTTCAAGACAGCCACACACAAGACAGAGGGGGTTCTCGACTATGTCCATACAGATGTTTGGGGACCAGTTAGCGTACTATCACGGGGAGGATACATGTATTTCGTGAGTTTCATTGATGATTACTCACGAAAGGTCTGGGTGTACTTCATGCGGCACAAGTCAGAAGCGTTTGCCAAGTTCAAGCTGTGGAAAGCTGAAGTAGAGAACCAGACAGGGAGGAAGATTAAATGCCTCAGGTCAGATAATGGTACTGAGTACACAGATTCAAAGTTCCAGGAGTTGTGTGAGCAGCATGGGATCAAGAGACACTTCACAGTCCGCAAGACACCACAACAAAATGGTGTAGCGGAAAGGATGAACAGAACGATAACCGAGAAAGCTCGGTGTCTCAGGTTGAATGCAGGGCTTGCAAAGAATTTCTGGGCAGAGGCAGTGAATATGGCATGTTTCTTGATTAACAGATCACCAAGGGCAGCACTAGATGGGAAAGTATCAGAGGAGGTGTGGACAGGCAGTGAGGTAGACTACTCTGGTTTGAGAGTGTTTGGATGTCCAGCCTATGTACATGTTTCTAGTGAGGAGAGGTCGAAGCTTGATGCGAAGTCTAGACAGTGTATCTTTCTGGGATATCAGAAAGGAGTGAAAGGCTTCAAGCTCTGGGATCCGAAGGCAAACAAGATGGTGATCAGTAGAGATGTGGTTTTTGATGAAAAAGCCATGTTGCAGCGTACTCAGGAAGAAGAGAAACAAGTACCAGAAAACTGTAGCACTAATGACCATGTGGTGCAGGTGGAGCTAGAGAATCATGGTAAAGAAGAGGATGCTCAGCATGTAGAGCGTTCTATCTCAGGTGATCAACAGCATCATAGTATAGCCACAGACAGGCCCAAACGCAATATCAAGCCACCTACCAGGTATGGTTTTGAAGATTTGGTTTCTTATGCGCTTATTACTAGTAGCGGGGATCCTACAACTTTTCAGGAGGCAGTACAAAGCCAAGAGAAAAGTAGATGGATGGGTGCTATGGTGGAGGAGATGGAGTCTCTGCATAAGAACCAGACGTGGGAGTTGGTGGAACTTCCCGAGGGGAAGAGAGCAATAGGGTGCAAATGGGTGTATAAGAAGAAAGAAGCAGTATCAGAAAATGAGGGAGAAAAATTCAAGGCTCGTCTAGTAGCAAAAGGTTACTCACAGAGAAAAGGGGTTGACTATGATGAGATCTTCTCCCCCGTGGTCAGACACACTTCCATCAGGACAGTGTTGGCACTAGTAGCACATTCAGATATGCAGTTGGAGCAGATGGATGTAAAGACAGCTTTCCTTCATGGCGACTTGGAGGAACGGATTTACATGGTACAGCCAGAAGGGTTCAGTCTCCCTGGAGAGGAACATTTGGTCTGTAATTTGAAGAAATCACTTTATGGGCTGAAGCAGTCTCCGAGGCAGTGGTACAAACGATTTGACTCTTACATGATCCGAATTGGCTACAAAAGGTGTGAGTATGATTGCTGTGTCTATGTAAAAGGGCTTGATGATGATTCATTTATTTTTCTGTTACTTTATGTGGATGATATGTTGATTGCTGCCAAGAGTATGAGTGAGGTCAACAAGTTGAAGACTTTGTTGAGTAGAGAATTTGACATGAAAGATTTGGGTGCGGCCAAGAAGATTCTTGGGATGGAGATTTGCAGGGACAGAGCTTCCAGGAGATTATGACTATCTCAGCATAGCTATGTTGAGAAGGTGTTGGACAGGTTCAGCATGAGTTATGCAAAATCAGTAAGTACACCTTTGGCGAATCATTTCAGATTGTCTACCGCTCAGTGCCCGAAGACAGATGATGAAGTTCATGACATGTCAAAGGTCCCATATGCTAGTGCAGTGGGGTGTTTAATGTATGCTATGGTTTGTACAAGACCAGATTTGGCACAAGCTGTCAGCGTGGTTAGCAAGTTTCTTTCAAATCCGGGTCGACAGCATTGGGATGCAGTCAAGTGGATTTTCAGATACTTGAGGGGCACTACAGACTATGGCATCAGGTTTAGCAGACAACAGAGTGACCCTTCAGTTATGGGATATGTGGATGCAGACTATGCAGGGGACTTGGATGACAGGAGGTCTACCACAGGTTATGTGTTTACTCTTGTGGGAGGACCTATTTGTTGGAAGTCCATGGTACAACCTATTATTGCACTATCTACTACTGAGTCAGAGTATATGGCAGTAGCTGAGGCTGCCAAAGAGGCTTTGTGGCTTACAGGTTTAGTCAAGGAGCTGGGTGCCCAGCAAGGTGGAGTTCAATTGCATTGTGATAGTCAGAGTGCCATTTATTTGGCAAAGAACCAGGTGTATCATGCGAGGACCAAACATATAGATGTGAGGTTTCATAAGATCAGGGAACTGGTTTCTTCTGGTGAACTATTACTTGAGAAAGTTCACACTTCTGAGAATGCAGCAGATATGTTGACAAAACCTGTTACTACAGACAAGTTCAAGCACTGCTTGGACTTGATTAATGTCTCTAGTTGCTAGATGGGAGATGCCTCAACTCAGCGTCTCCGAATACATGTTTTTTTTTTTTTTTTTTCTAAGGGGTGAATATTTGCCAAGGTGGAGATTGTTAGAGTATGTGTGGCTCATATTTGCTGTGTGCATAATGGCAAGGAGGCAGATGTCGGAGCGGAGCCCGCGACGGCATCTGCCTTGCGGGATTTAAATAAAGGGGACGCTGATTAGTTGGGGGTGCGGGGGCAACGCCCCCGCGGTACGGTACAGGGGTATTTTTGTAAATACGTCCATATTAGGGTTATATAAATACTTAAGATGTAACCCTATTCTATAATGAAAAAGAACGGCCGCTCGCTCTCGTGGATGTAGGCACATTGCCGAACCACGTAAATCTCTGTGTGTTATTTTCTCCTGCTTTCTTAATTGTTTGATTCCTTACTATTCACCATAATTGCTGCACGATCACAACAAGTCACGAGTTCACAAGGGAAGACAAGGAGTCCTTGTCCATTGGGAAGGCACTTCTCCTTCGGATGCCACCTTGGAAGATTGTTATAACTTTGCTCAAAGGTTTCCCTCTTCAACCCTTGAGGATAAGGGTTCTCTCAAGAACGGGGAAAGTTGATACGAGTATCACAAGCTAGATCGGGTGGGAGTCTTGTAGGGATAGGCTTGTTATCCCTATCTAGATTATCATTATCTTTATTTTTCAGCATTTCAATTTCAATAGGAGTGCCTTTGCAAGGCTACAAAGGTCGGTCGAATTATGAATAAAAGCATCGATTGATTTCCACCCAACTTACCTTGAATTAAGGAGGCCAGGCTCCATCCAAGTGTCCTATCCTTTCCTAACACCACCGTAGGGAAGCCATGCAAGGTTGATCCTTGTGCCTTTCTAGTCAACAAACCAGTTATGCTTCCAATGTCAAATGTACGTGACATCGTGTTGCTAGGCGTACGTGTACTAATAAACAATGATCTAAGTATTTTTATTGTAAAATAAAGTCAATCATTTACATCTATATTTTGTTGTGTTTGTTGTCCTGTGGAAATTATGAATTTTATGTTTTGGCAAAATATATTGTCCATCTTTAAAATTCGATCCAATCCTTATTTCCTCTCATTTTCCTTATTAGTTGACAATGATAATTCAAGACTTACTTTCAATTGAACATTTATTATTTTTTTATTGGTTGGTTTCATACATCACTTTAGTACATGGGTTGCACCTCAACTTAACATTTCTTAATGACAATATCCCTATAAAAATTATTAGAATTAAATTTTTCATGAAAATAATGTTAATTTAACTATTATAATTTTAATTTATTAATGAGTCTCAAGTTGCCCACTCTACAAAAGATTTTTGACTCTGCCCCCGATTAAATCTACGAGAGATTACCCGAAAAAGCATGTTTACTCTGTGGAGTGTTGAACCCTTGATCAATGCTAATTAAGGTCTCTATAGCATTGCTCTTTGGAGATTTAATCAATTGAGTTATTTAGATTAAAAATGAAATATTAAAAATGGATTTCATTTATCATTATAATTCACAACTAATTTGAGAGCAATGTATTATTATTATTTTTCATACTAAATTACGGTTTTGCCCACACCATTTTCGATAATTACGAGAAAGACATAAGTCTGTCCGTCGGTTAACGAAGAAGAGGAGGGAAAGCTGCTTGTTTTTACTTTTTGAAACTTTTAAATACCGTGGGGGTCTTAATCGCACACGCCTCTGGTAATTGAACTCTGACAAAACCAGACGGTTCGTCGTCGAGAGAGCATCGATGCCAAAGGTGGCGGTGCCTGGTTTATCCAGACGAATACTACCGTCCCCTTCCGCCATGGATTTGGCTTTTTCCAAAAGAAAGGTCAGTTTCTTTTCAGTCTCTCTTCTATTTACGACACGGTCGATTTTTGAATGAATCCTGTTCAGAATTAGGGTTTGTAGATTCTATGTTTTTGAATCTTTCTGGTGCCTGTATTGTGTTTTTGTGTATATATATATATATATGTGCTCGCTTGACCGTCTCATCTGATCGACAGTTTCTCAGTTGCTGTGTGATCTTTAATGGTTCTTGTGTACTCTTTTGATGAAGCTTGTTAAGAATTAGGGTTCGTAGATTCAACGTGCATGAATATTTTTGGTGCATGTATTGTTTCTTTATATGTTCTTGTTTGAAAAAAAAAAAATATGTTCTTGTTTGACGGTCTTATCTGATTTTGAAATTGATTTGACTCAGTTGCTGTGATCTTTAATGGTTCTTTTGGTACTTTTTTTTTTTTTATTTGTTTCTTTATTGAATTTTCTTTGTGTGCATTTTTATTTGTGGTGATAGATATTAGATAATCATTTTTACCTAATGAGAGTTCCGTAATGAGTAGTCCTGTTTGTTTGTAATTTGCCGCCAAGTTGGGATAATGAGTTGTGCTGCGAGCGCAAGGGCATTTGATTTGGCTAGGAATGTCTGAGAGGCTTTCATTGCTCGTCTTTTTGAAGGTATGTACTCCTACATAGACGAAGAGTGAGATTGCCAGGCAATTTGATGTAAAATCGTAAGCTATTTATACATACATGATTCCTAACGAAAATCAAGCGAAAAATGGAATTGAACTGTACTATGGTCTATATGTATTGACGGATACAGGTTCTGGTTTTTGGGGAGGGGTGGAATTCTTTCGACAGGTCTTTAAGATGGTCATTTGGCAAAATAGGACAAAAGCTTCTTCAGGTTGTTTTTCAACAGGGAACTGAGGGACTCTCTACTCTGCTGCAGGAAGAGGTAATTTGTTTTTGACAATTTATAATTTTTTTTTCTGTTTTATATTTGGGGAAATCTACTAGTACAAAAGCAAAAAACTGAATCTTCATTTTCCTGCTGATACCATTTTTCTTTATATTTTTGAAGTTGAACACTGTTGCAGTGGTTCTAGAAGTAGACTTAGTCTTTTGAATTCTGTTAATAAATCCCTATTGTTCAGGGCGTTGACCTATTCTTTAGCACAATCCCACAAACACAGTGGAGTGCCTTTTATTTCTAGTTTTTGTTATTGTAAGGCTATAAATAGCCCCATCCAGATGCAATAATATCAGTGAGTTTTTACTCCCAGTTTGACAACTCTGTTTTACCAGCATTAACAAACACCATGGTTGAAAGATCACAATGGACCGCTTGTGATTTTCCATCTGGACCTGTGATTCTGGTTGTGAAACTTAGTTGTGGATTAGTGTTTGTACACATTCCTTTCCCTTTCCCTCTTTCCCCTTTTCATAATTTAGTTTGACCATCATATTGATTGACTTGACAAAGATAGTATGCAGTGGTGGAATCTGATCATTAAGTCAGATTAACCTTTTGTTAAATTTTGTATACATGTATTTAGGTAATTCTATGTTATCCAAAAAAAAAATTGATTCCATATTGAAAGTTACGACTATCTAAGGATAAGTTACAACCTTTTGAGGTATAAATTATAACTGCAAAAGACATGATGAATCCTAAGATATTGTGATTGATCATGGAAGTTACAAGTTTTAAGGATGTCTACTGATGATGATGAATTTAAGTTTGAGCTCCTTTCAAGCCAAAAACCCCTTGAAGGCACCCAAGTCCCCTGGGAGATGGTGTTCTCCATGTTCGCTTGGGCTATAGCCCGGCCCTTTGAAAGCCCAAAATTATTCAGCCCAGAATAGATCCCAGCTCGGCGTATACAAGCTAGGCGAAAAGGATCTACTTGGGAACGTGGAGCTCAACAACAAACGGATCCAGGAAAACCCTTGTCGCGCCACGTGGACAGGGGATAAGAAAACAATACTTGACAACTCTAATGGATGAATATTCACCTGTAGTGGAGATACCTCCTGCATTCCCTTCCAGGTGTAGTAGACGCAAAAAACGTGGTTCAACTACAGGACGAATAAAGGGGAGGGGGGGGGGGGACCAGAGAATCAGCCAAAGAAGGAACCATAGCGAAACCCTAGTAACAAGAGGCATAAATAACAAACGATACGACTGTGTAAGATAAAGAGAAAATAGGCAAGAAAACAATCTAGGAAGCACCCTGAAAAATGCTCTTAGTCAAATTATCTATAACTGTAACCGTCGGTTAAAATAAATATTATACTCAAGGAGAAAGAGCCTCTTCTTACTCAAGTAATATTATACTCAAGGAGCAAGAGCCTTTTCTTACAGTGGATGCAACCTCAGTCCTTCGGTTAAAATGAATCACTCATATTCCTGTCTTCGTTTTGTTTTTTAACACTTTTTGCACTCTCACCCACTATCACACACAGAGCCCCTCTGGGCCTCATCCCTTTATTGTTTTGTAGCTGGGTAAGAAGATTTTGAGCACCATCATCTAGGCACATCTATGTCTAGGCACATCTATGTCTATGTCTTATATTGTTGAGTTTATATTTGACTTCTATATTGTGGATTCTCATGATGATTAATGATTAATGGATATGACAGACTTTGCACTTGGGAGCACAACTTCATCTTTTCAAGAGATAAAAGAGATGCAGAGATAATAAGGTAGAGGAAGATCTCGGTACACTCCTCTTTTATCATCGTCATTTTTTATTGAAATTTTTTCAGGTGTAACGGAAGAGTGCTTTCACCCCCATTGTAAGAATGTAAAATACGCAACACTTCAAAATACTGTACAAGCAGAGTGCAAAATGCCATTCACTTTCCCCTTTTTTATGTATTAGATCAAGAAGCACGACATGTCTTGCAGAAGCAAGAGTGGTCTTCCAAAGATCAATGTTCTGTTCAAAGTCGAACCATGGCATCAGGTATGAAAATGCGATGACTTATTCAGGTAACCTGCTCTTATTGGGATGGGAAGGTGTTTTTTTTAATCTGGGTAGTAGTGGTAGGCTTGTGAACGAATGCGTAAAAGCCTGCTCGGGGTTGGGGTGTGATCAGATCTCTGCCTTCCTGTCCTACAATTTGCCCATCATACCTCATCTTTAAGACACCCTAGTTGGTAGTTGGTGTTGTTACTCTAGACTGAATTACCTGGGGAAGATATGGAGTAAAGGAATATGGGTTTTTGAACTTTTTAAGCCCTGCGGTTGTTGAGCTTCTCTTGATCCATCACATCGAAAGTTATAACCAGACGGGTATGTTCATGTTCCTTCTATTTTTTCTAGGACAATAGCTGAATATTAAACAAAATTATTCGGCGCTGCCCTGTCTTGTGGCAAATTGAGCACTAGTTAGGAGCAGCCACCCTTTTTCAGTAATTTTTGAATAATTCTATTGAGACATTAAAAAATTAATATGATTTATTGACCTAATGATGTGTCAAGTGATAAAGTTATGAGAAAATGGTTCAACACTTCAAACTATAATATTATTAGATAAAAAATTAAATTAATCTTTTAAATTTTAATAGTATTACTTGTAATTATTATCTGATTTTTCTGTTGACGTTTTATATTAGAGGTGTTCATTGTATTTTACAAGTAGGAAATATAGTCTTTTATCTTCTTATTTGATACTTTGCGGAAGAATTTTTTTTTGGTCTACCGTACCCGATCAGGTATGGTATTCTTATCCGACTTTATATTTGATTAATCAGTTAGGAAATTGGGTAGGAAATTGGATAAACACTTTTGTAATTATTAATGTTTGAATCATTTTAACAATTCAATTAAATAACATGTATCAATTTAACAATACAATAAATCAATAATATTAAAATTTAAAACAATTACAATAAAACACAAGAAAGCATGAATATTAATTCATCATAATTGTTACATAAATACAATAATAATTATTTTAAGTTTAAAGCATATGAAATACAATAAAATCATAAATGTTTCAATAGATCATTAGTTCATCATAAATTATGTAAGTTACACAAAAAATAAGTCTATGTTTTAGCAATTTAAATATTCACAACAATAGTAATGTTACAATATAAATTATACTAAACAAATAATCTTATGATTATTAAAAAAATTAAATAATTTTTTTGCGGGTAGGGTAGGGTAGGGTAGGGTAAAAATACAAAAATTGATGGATATTCTGTATTTTTATCCGATTTAATCAGAAGACCAATTTTTTTTTACTTGATTTTTGTGATTAACCGTTCAATAAGATAGAATAAAATCAAGTAAAGTAAAAAATTACGATCAATCGAAAATTTGAATACTCCTGTTTTATTTCATGAAGCCCCCTCGTCCGATGCTTGTAATGGCGTGGTGGGTTCATATGTTTAAGTGGTGTGGTTGTCTGGGTATAACAGCTCTGATTGTTACAGGCTCTTTATTTATTATTGGATTTCCTTACAACAACAACAATGGAGGCTTGGATTCTGACATCTATTTAAAACTGTTCATCAGATGCTTTTCCATCCTGTGACATGTATAAAATAAAGTGGTTGGAGTTTCAATGTCACCATTTTTTTTAAAAAAAAAATTTTAGTCACACCCTTTTCTAAATTATTATATTTTCAAGAACATCCTCTCTATTTATTTAACCTTCACTAACATTTTTGTCAGATTAAATGTGTTAATTAAAATACAAATTTATTAACTTGACCATAATATATTTTAGGCAAAATTTATTCACACTCACTTTATATAAACATATTTTTAATGAGACCTCTTTTGTGTTTTAAATTTTTTTTACGTATTAAAATTCAAGCGGATTAAAATTTGATTCAAGCTAATTAAAATTTGTGTTGATTAAATATTATATTTTTTTTATATATTACAATTTGAGTCGATTAAAATTCTATTCGAAACCCAAATTAAATTTTAATTAACTCATATTAAATTTTAATTAGCCTAATTTTTGATACATGAAAAATATAAAAATTAGTTGAATTAAATTTTAATAAATAAAAAAATATAAATTTTAATTGGTGTTGATGACATCAAAAAAGAATTTCAGGTCTGAGGTCGGGAGCTAAGGTTAGGAAGGGAGCTCAACTCATGGAGTCTGAGTTTCGAGGTCTAAACCTAGACTCTCTCCACCTGCACTCTAAAGTAAATAAGTGAAGGATAACTGGCATTCATGAGACATCCCCCCAATGGTAACAAGCTCCAGTCTAGGCACAAAATCTTCAAACCACCATAACCGTCGCCTAGAATCAAGCAAGACACCACGGGAGAAAGATGAAAATCTCGTCACAGATCCCAAAAGACTAGGAATTTGATTATAAATATTGTACAATGCCTTCGATACGATGCAAGTAACTCTGGTGGTATTAGAAACACTCTATAGATCATACACACATTATTAATACAAATCAAAAGAGCAAGAGATCCATTTAAGAGTGAATTAACCAAGCTCCCGAACTAATGAACCACTATAATGTTGTTGTGTGAAGTGTCCTTCATTCCCAAAAGCCAACACACCATTTGTATGAATTTGACTATAATATTGTACAATGCCTCCGGTACGACGCAAGTAACTCCGGTGGTATTAGAAACACTTTATAGATCATACACACATTATTAATACAAATCAAAAGAGCAAGAGACTCCATTTAAGAGTGAATTAACCAAGTTCCTGAACTAATGAACCACTATAATGTTATTGTGTGAAGCGTCCCTTATTCCCAAAAGCCAACACACCATTTGTATGAGCTCAGTAGTTCAAATCCAACCGTACGAGTAAATTTATACATTCTGCTCATTCACATTCATACACTATCAATTCGGCACCGTTTGTGGGAACGACTGTTCCTATTACAAAAACACTGATATCTTTTAGTAATTAATGGTCTCTACACGTAACATGAGTAGAAGCCAAATGAATCCTTCACAGGTGCAGAATCAACAGGAAGCCACAAATGGAAGGCAACAGAAAAATCTTCGTGACTTCTTACCCACCACAGAGGACAGTCCTCCCATGGTGGACCCCCTTCAAACAATGAACTCGAGGCTCTTCGCCTAGTCAATCAATGCCTATTACAATAGAACGAGGAGCTCTTAAAACTCTTACAACGCCCACAGTAGACACGCACATCCTAGGGTGACCAAAATGATCCCCCTTAAAGGGAGCATCCACGCCTCGACCCTCTGGCAGAAATTCATGAAGGGGGTGAAAATAGAAAAGTCATGGACCAAGCTCCCCATCTCCCCTATAGGAATGGTGAAAACAAGGAGGTCCAAAGCCAAAATGTGGGAACTAAGAGAAACGAGTTCCTCCCTTTCTCCCGGGAAAGAAGAGAATAATATTGGGAGCAACGCTTCAAGGACATCCAACAAGAATTAAGCTACATGAAAAAGGCAGTAAAAAGCAAGACCCTTGTAACTATGGACGCTTTGATCCAGCAGACCAAGTCCTCTTTTACTGCGGATATGTTACACTTCCCCTCCCTCCGAAGTTCAGAATGTCCTAGATCGAGGCCTTCAATGGGACAAAAGTTCTCATGGACCACCTCAATACTTGCAAGAATCAGATGCAGTTACACGGGTAGCCTTAGTATGGTTAAATAGGCTAGTCCCGACATCGATCTCCTCCTTTAAGGAACTCTTCATATCCTTTGTGTCCCATTTCATAGGAGCTCGAACTTATTGAAAGTCGAGCTACCACCTGTTAAATGTGAAACAGAGACCCAACAAGAATCTACGGACTTATGTCCAAATGTTCAATTCATAATTCCTGAAGGTAGACGTCCCAGACGAGAAGTTCGCTATCATTGCTTTCATTGTTAGTTTAAGAGTACAGTCAAAAGACTTTATGTTCTCCATATCAAAGAACCCGCAAGCAAGCATGGCGGAGGTGCTGGCCAAGGCAAAAAATTATATAAACAATGAAGAAGCCCTCCTTTCTAAGGTAGAGAGCTCATCCTCACAGAAGAAAAAAGGGAAAGAAAAAAAGAAAAGGGATCAAAGTCCCAAGAAAGAAAGAGGACGAGATAGATCTCTAAGAAGAGATAGGGATCGCTTCCCCAAAAGAAGAGATGTAAGATTTTGCCTAGATTCTCCACAACCAAAATTACACCCAAGTTGCGCACCTTGACAGTTCACTCCGCTTACGGCTATAGTGTCCCAGATCTTTTATGAGGTTCAAAATGAGAAATTCCTGAGGTGGTCACCTCAGATGAAGACAAACCCAACTAAAAGAGATGTGACGAAGTATTGCGATTACCATGGGGACCACGGCCACCTCACAAACGATTGCATCTAGCTAAAAAAGAAAATTGAGTTCCTGATTTAGCTAGGGCAGCTACGCTGCTTTGTGGCCCATGAGAACCAAAATCGAGCTCCACCACCCCCAACACCTCAGCCACAGGTTCCTATGCAACATCAACAACCTCTGGGAGAGATTAGAGTGATATTTGGAAGATTTACTGGAGGTGGGGAGTTCAGCTTAATTAGGAAGGCTCACCTGCGCAGAATTAGAACTAATGAGTCACTGAAAGTGCATATTGTGTCCAAGGCACCATAGCTGAACACAATTATCACCTTTTCAGACTCAGACTTGGAAGGCTGTCAACACCCCTACGATGACCTCTTGATGGTAAGAGCTGTCGTTACTAACAG